ATCTATGACTTAGACAGTTTGGGAATCCTTGCTCTTGTCATTGTGTGCTGCCTATCCTATTTCTCCCGAGTGCACATTCCTTAATTTAAAAATCTTCTCCATGGCTGAACTAGTTGAACAGAGATTGCCCAGATGGGACGCATTGTCGTACCATGAAATCTCACGCATCAAGTCAGATCTATATCCATGCACCAGGTTGGCTCGCCATTATCCTGGGCCCCTTTGCCTCTGAGTAATCACGAGCGTCATGCCCACGCATGAAACCCCTATCTGCCCTGATGTCTCTCGACTTGGCCCTTTCATTGCCATGGTGAAATGCCAGACAAATGAGACCAGGGACCCCCACGTTGGGGATCTGAAAAGAAAAAGATATGATCGCGATAATGCATGGCCCACGTGGATGTGGTGCTATAGATCGGGGCAGCACATGGGCTTAGAATAGATAGATAGCTAGACACTGTGAAAGTTTTTGGGCTTCAAAATCATTTTCGATCAACTAAAATTGGCTCGCTATTACTGAACAGTATATTTCGTAAAAGGCACTAATTCTGCCTCACGCTGAAACTGAGCTGGAGGGCTTTAGCTTTCTCGTGGCTTGATGCATTGTCTTCACTACTCATGCCTGAATCGTTGAGATATGCCCACGGGACGAATTTGTTTGGCGCAAATACGAAGTCTTGCCCCATGCTGAAACTGAACTAGAGGGCCTTAACTCTCTCTAGGCTAATATTTCTACTTTAGTCTGTTGGGGATGACCGTATTCTAGCATCTCCTACCAATGAACGAGGCAAAGGACGGGTTAGATTACCTTGCGGTCAGAAGAGGTGCTCGTAAAAAGATCAGCTTGAGTTTCTGAGAGAGGTATATAAATTCCTTCCATGGCTTGGTAGAATCAGTACTAGCTATCCTTCTAGGAGTCAGATACCAACAATCTTGTTTAAGAGAGCTTGAGATAGAGTCATTATGAGATTTTCACCCATTATCATCTTGGCCAATTTCCTTGGTGCTAGCATTGCATATCCTAATTCCTCCCATAAACCATCGACAACGCTACAACCAATTGCCACAAAATGTCGAGTTCACAGTCTTTATGAGCCTACTGGGACTCCATGTGCAGGAAACACTCCTAACGACAGATCTGTCTGGTGCAATTACAGCATCGACACAGACTATGAGGATGTTGTCCCGGATACGGGTGTTACGCGTGAATTTTGGTTCGAGGTTAAAGAAGTCACTCTCTCTCCCGACGGATTCATGACTCCACGTCTAGCCATGACCATCAATGGCACCTTGCCTGGCCCGCCTCTTGTTGCAGACTGGGGCGACTGGGTAATTGTCCATGTTACAAACCATTTGTATCAGGCAATGAATGGCTCCAGTATTCACTGGCACGGTATCCGTCAGAACTACACAAACCCAAATGACGGTGTTCCCTCGCTCACCCAATGTCCTATTGCCCCCGGCTCGACTATGACCTATAAGTGGCGAGCTGGTCAGTATGGGTCTTCCTGGTATCACTCTCATATTGGTCTGCAAGCCTGGGAAGGTGTATATGGTGCTATCATTATCAATGGACCGGCAACTGCAAATTATGATGTGGACCAGGGCGCATTGTTCCTAGGTGATTGGACGCATGAAACTGTGGATCAACTGCACCAAGACGTTCAACTACGCGGCCCCGTTAGAAAGTTGTCAAATGGACTCATCAATGGCAAGAATGTCTATGGAAATGGTACAAATACAACTGGATCTCCTTTCCACATGAAAGTGGAAAAAGGCAAATCCTACCGGTTGCGACTCGTGAACCCTTCTATCGACACACATTGGAAGTTCACTATTGACAATCACATAATGACCATCATTGCAATGGATCTCGTTCCTATAAAGCCTTTTACCACAAACGTCATCAGTCTTGGAATGGGTTCGTTTGTTGGCCTCTATTGCTCTAAACCGTCAAATCAAGCTAACGTTCTATACCCAGGTCAGCGATATGATGTTGTCATCACGGCCAACCAGGAATCCATAACTGAATCCTTCTGGATGAGAGCTATCCCAGCCGACAGATGCTCACGAAACGAAATGGCCGGCAACATTCGAGGCATCGTCTACTATGGCAACACGCCCAAACAACCACACACGCAGTCATTCCCCTCCACAAACGCATGTGAAGACGAGCTTTTGACAAATCTAGTTCCGCATGTCCCGAGAAACGTCGATCCACCAGTTTCACCAGTGTGGGATAAGAATGTAACAGTCAGCAATACCAGAAACGCCCAGAATTTCTTCCGCTGGCGGTTCAATTCCACGTCTATGAACGTGAGTTGGGAGAACCCGACCCTAATGCAAGTCTACCACAACGATCTGGGACTCTCTAACTCAAGCGGGGTGATTGAGTTACCCTACAAGGATCAATGGGTATATCTCTTCATCCAAAACACCCTCGTCACTCATCCCATCCACCTTCACGGGCACGACTTCTCTATCCTAGCGCAAGGACAGCCGGGGCCTGGGAAGCCACAATGGGATGGTTCTATCATTACGCAGAATCCTCCGCGTCGAGATACGGCCGTGCTCGCTGGAAGTGGGTGGCTACTGATTGCTTTCAAGACGAATAACCCCGGCGCATGGTTAATGCACTGTCATATTGGATGGCATGTTGACGAAGGTCTGGCGTTACAATTTATTGAGCGGCGAGATGAGATTCGGAATCTCGTTGATTATGCCCCGTTCAAAGAGAATTGTGCTGCGTGGTATAAATATGTCAAGTTGAAAAATATAGTGCAGGCAGACTCGGGAGTCTGAGACTGCGGTATTTGTGTGCTGGGTGATGCTGTGGATGGGACACCGAGAGTTGCTGTATTAGATTGGTTTAGATTGAGGTGGTAATGCCTTTATTTTTTTTCTAAAAAAACAATCTTTCGGGTCTTCCAATGTACATTTTCGATTTCAACTCCCTACCTCGGTTCACTCTCAGTTCACTCTCGAACTTTCCTTCCTATTTTCTCCCAGCGTTCAACCTCGAAAGCTTCCCCAATCCTATTGAGGAGCTTGCTGCCGCCGTCATGCCCAGCTCCTCGGCTGGGGGTCGAGGTTTATTCAAATGCTACTGACTTCTATTTTGAATCATTGGTCACGTAGGCTTTGATATTTGAATGCTGCCATCTCCCGTCGCAAACAATCTTCTGTATTAGGAGCTTTGGCGACTAAAGTTTCGGACCTGCACATGCGATGCTCCAGTGGACAAACGATGCCGAAGTGTATGAACATACAGATCTTATGAAAGCCCCGTACATTGTGAAATCTCAAGGTGGATGGATGTATTGACTATCAAGGAGTTGATATCGAGAAGCTGAGAGCTAACCAAAGGCTAGCTAACGATGGTTTGTAGTTGGTGCCGCCGGTGAAGGAACGACTTCGGAGAGCGAAAACTCTCTGAAACTGAAAGATGGGGATGAAATTGTGGGGTATAGACGATCAGTGGGAAACTAATGCTTTGGTAATATCATGAAGTTGCGGGAGCACTGTAGGGTAATCCTGCAAGAGTGACCGTATAAGGATACTGGGTTATATGCACAGGACAATCTGGCATCGGTTCCCATGATGTTAGGTCTCATGGTTGTGACAGAGGCTTGACCTGGCCGGTTGTGTGCAAAAGGACTTATGCGGGGGCACTGATAGATGCGTGAAAACGGTTGTGCGAGGACGCTGGTCAATCTGGTCGGTGGAAGAGGCACTCTGGGAATAAGGCACTGGCTGAGATTATGGAGAGAAAGCGCTGGCCACATGTGGTGATAGATTCTCGTATGAGATGGGGACGCTGGCTATGCAGAAGGACTGGTTGCGAGAGCAGCAGGAAGAATCCCCTTTTCTATATCCTCGATCTCTTGTGTACCATTCATCCTCATTAAAAGCAAATCATCAAAACTTTTCCCTGACTCTTTGGCTTCCTTGCGTAACTGTCGATGGCGGATTCGCCAGGAAATATGGCTAATATATATCCCCGCCTCGAGAACTACCACCAAAACATACATGATCCCCCCTAAAATGTCAAATGAACCTTGTGCAGCTATCATAGAAATGTATCAGCTGGCTATTTTGTCATAGACATGTATTTCCCGGATGTATATCAATCCTTACCCAATGCAAAGAGAGAAAATAGTCCGCCCATCGTGTCGATGGAGAGGAAAACCCAATCTACTAACATCAGCAGTAGTCCGGTAAGCGCGGCAAATCTCAAGTAGACTGACTGAATCCTATCACACGCCCATCCCTCTTCCACAGTTCAAAATAAGGTGGTAGCAGTCCTGCAGTGAGGAGTATGGCAGCCATAGTACCAACCACAATGTTGGGCCATGTCACACCTTTGGTATATGGTATCTGTCACATTTGATTAGAATTCCCAAAGTTTGGAAACATAAGAGAAAGTAAAATCCACGATACCCTCAATGTCAGGATGAGAAGAGCCTCTAATCCCCCAAATATAACAGCCGTTCCCAAGGATACTAAGACAGCCTCAATTATACTATAGGCGCTATTAAAATTGAAGAGCCGAGATTAGCAATGAACACACAATCAATCCACATATGCGCTCAGATCAGGAAGAAGGCACAAGAAATCCAACTCACTGGCTATAATAAAGCACCTGACTCCAACTAACAAGAGAGAAGAATCCGAAGATCTGAGGCTGAATCTGCAACGGGATATTGACTTGCTATAGTAGAAACCACAAAGATAGGGGTCAGCGATACACAGATGCAGATGCAATGAATCATCGAAATGGCTAGACCAGAAGTCCGCTCATCAATGCAATTCAACTCACCTGCAGAATCAGATATGCGCCCATTGGAACTGAGCCTACATAAATCACATTTGTCAGAAACCCCAATTTCAATCTTGGGGCTTTCTTTTCTTTTTCCTCTGTCCTCTTTCCTCTTTCCTCTTTCCTCTTTTGGGCGCATCTTCACCCACATATCAAGAGTCTGGAGAGATTACCAACGCCCTCAAACCCCCATGAAATATGAAATGAAGAAATGGCGACGAAACTCACAGCTTGCCCAGAGAAACATCATTGTCGCAGGAAGTCCATCTGTGTTCTTACGGCGCCAATTGTACCAGATCTGTGGTATGAGCTGGATGCACCAGAGAACTGTCCCGATGGTGCCGAGCACGTTCGATGCCAGGGTGACATCGTCTTCCGGTGACATTTTGGATGTAGAGCGAATCTGTCATACGCATGGAAAGGCTATGAATTCTGACAACAATATCCCAGCCCAAGAAGATCAGGAATGCCTGGGTGTAGAGAATACATCCACTTTAGCAACCGGATTCGACGAGATGAGCTAGCTCTTATACTAAGCAGCCAACCCACAAACCCCGGAAGTAGCCTACAAAACAGCGGGAAATCAAAAATTGGAGATTTGGAATTTTGATTGCGAATCAGTGGAAGGATCCAGTTCCCTTCTCATGCACACAGTAGCGCAGCGCACGTTTGTACCAATCACAGCCCAGCGACAAATGCAAGATGAGGTAGGAGAGTATCGAGATGGGAGGGGAGTTTCAAAGCCCTGCTGTTGGTGGTAATGAACATACAGAATGCAGGGTGAAATGTCCAATGTAGAACGAACTAAACCCAAGGTGAGAAAGAGGACAAGAGACAGCTTGGAAGAATATAATGCAACGGGGAAGTCTTGACACTTGATGCAGGACTTGACTGATTTAGTTGAAGGATCTTCATGGTTAGTGCATTGGCCTATGGGGACAGGAGGGGTCTTTGCCTATCACCAGACCTGGCTGGAGGGAGCTTGCAGTCTATCTGAAAGAGAGAAAAGAAGAAGCAGAGGAAAGTCAATGCTGCTTCTCGAGAGAATGAGACTGTTTTTAAGTAGAAGAGGTTGCTAGAATTATACAATCCCACTTTGAGTCGAGCAAGAACTGCAAAGTTTGGGCTCGAGAGTACCGGGATAAGCCTATGAGGTTTACAGATAGTGGGAAGAGGGGTGAGATCTAGGCTTCAGAGCCAAGACTGAATGGAACAATCGATGCAGAATGAGGGCAGGTTACGGGGGCATTGCTACGACATATACGTTGTTCCTTCTCTTGTGCATTGCATTTGCAATTTTTTTTTCTCCGGTCGATTGCACGCAACCTGAGGGTAGGTAGGTAGAGAAGTTAATCAAAGAATTGTATTGACAAGTCCAAGTTAGGATTGAGGGAAACATGCTCATCATTGATCATAGATCGGAACATTGTAATTATCGACCAGCATGTGCCATTCTGTTGTTCATACCACACGTGGCTCCCGCTCCTTTTTGATAGAGGTGTACTCCCTCACTCTTCGCTACCGACATGTACGTTGATACTATCCGAAATGAAGCAATTGGCCTCTATGTCTTTTTTAACACAACAGGCGCGTCCAGTCTCTCTCTCCGCTAGCTGCGAAGCGAATGAGGACGCATATCACCAAGAAACATCTTCGCCGATTGTCGCCAACATGCTCCGTCGACTGGGTCGGAACAAAAAGAACAGAGAAAGGATAATTTACGTCAGTTGAGAGAGAGCTGAATTCCATCTGGGCGATCAAGTGCTGACGCACGTCTCAAATTCGTTGAATTTCGTGGAGATAATGCATTTGCAGGCGTCGCGACGTTCCAGCCTGCCTTGGACAAGGGTTCGATGGCACATTTCGATTCCATGGTATTTTCTCGGAAGCTAGTCTTGTCTGCGCGCCCAAGTCTCTCGGCTTTCTTTCTGCTGCGACACTGACTTGCACTTGGACTACCGCGTGAAATGCTTTAATTTGCTCTAAAGGGCCCGGGAGCAGGGCCGGGCTCATGAGAGCCTGTTCAAGGTACCGGCGAGGTTAGTACCGCGACTCTGCAGCTCGCTGTCGCAGTAGGCGTGACTGTGATCGCGACTACGTCATCACGGAGGAAGCCGCTCACCCAAAGGCGCTGGGTGAGACGCATGTTATCAATCACATGGCCCACCCGAAGAGCTGGGGTGAGGAAACCCATCGCTTGACGCCTGGTAGAAATGTTGTGGATTTTGTTCTTGATGTCGGTGGCAATGAAACACTCCCGAAGTCTCCGGCGGCGGTACGGGTGGATAGAATGGTTCTAGTCGTTGGTCCAGATGGAGAGTCGAGCGTTGAATATGTGCCTATGTTCGCTGCTCTGCTGTATAGGTGGATTATTCGTGGCATTCTGGCTGCCAGTTGCTACCATTTTCGGAAGTTGCTCGCTGTATTGACGAGCGCAAAATGTATACCGGCGGTTGATGATGTGACGTTCGAGTTGGCTGAGGCAATGAGCACATTTAGACGCCTCAAGGAAAAGATATACTTTGCTTAACCTTTGATCAAGATTGACCTTATCTAAATCAAGCTATGTCCGTTCATACATTACGAGGCAGGGAATCCAGAACCAATCAATACATCCAATAAATGCATTACAGTAAGGAGAAAGGGAAAAAAATCAAATTGAAATGAATATTCAGGCTGTCTTGTTTTGCTTCGACTACGCGCCTTTGTAGAATATTGACATATCCAACCCCATAATCGAGAGGCAAATTTTAGAGGTTAAAGATCGTAGACCCTAAAACAATTTTGAATTACTCAAAAACGAGGAGGGTTCTAGAGCCTGAAAGGCCCTATGTCCAAGTGGATTCCGACAAATGGCATGTAGGCACGCACGTCCGTACATAGCCCTAGAAAGAACAATGAAGGGAATTGCACTGTTCTAAAGTGAAGACATCGCTATCCTAAGATACAGATACAATCTCACATTTTTATCTTTCTTCTGTGTAGAACAGTCCTTCACCAAGATCAACGGACCTTGATTCTAAACTTGATTTTAACATGACAATGGAGAATGGTACCTCGACCTTGAAGGAGCAAAAGGGACAGACGCAGGAGAAGCACCCGCTGGAGTAAAAAAACATTATAAACCCCAAATCACAAAGGAAAAAAAACGTACCAAGAAGAGAAAGGGCATGCGACACAAAACAAAAAGGAGGCCATCAAGACGTCACGTTAAAGGAACCAAAAACACACACACACACACATCGAGGTTGGATCCGAAGGGTATCAAGGGGAAGGGAAACAGACTTTGCGACAGAACAAATGGCAAGAAACTCGGGCAAAAAAAATTTTTTTAAAGAACAAATAGACATCATGCATACGGACCACAGATCACAGAAGGATCAAATAGTTCGAGGGCGCAATGCCAGTGTCTCCATTTTGCTTCCGAGCCTGCCACCATCGGCCGCTCACATCGGATACTTCCAAAATCTCGTGTTTGGAGAAGCTGATTTCATTGGCGTCTTCCGGATTGGCATCATATGAGTAAATTGCCTTGGCCCGGTAGGGGTAGTCTGTTGGCTGAGGCACTTCGCCCACTTCTTGCTCGCCGTTACGGGGAGTCGTGGGGTTGGGGGTACCAAAGCGAGGCGCGGAGGATGATCGTTCGGCACCGGGCGCGCCACCGGGGTATCCGGAGAGGGGGGACGAAGTCTCGAAGCCGCCTAGTTGTGCGGAGGTGTACATTTGCGGGGTGCTGTTGGTTGCCATGGTATCTGGACGGGCGCCAAATGCGCTGGACATGGGACGGCTGCCGCGGTAAGAGGGTTCGGTCGGCTGTTCCTTATTCAAGGCGAAGGAGTCGATAAAGCCGCGGTGAGTGGCCTGGGGTGTGGAGCCGAAGTAGAAGATCCAGATGATGATGATCATGGAAAGTAGGATGAAGCCTGCGCCGGCGGCTTGCAGGGAGGCATGTTTTCCGTAGACCAGGTTGTTTGCGCTTGTGGATGTCAGGACAAGACCGCAGGCCAGGTAACCAACGATCTGAAATCATGTCAGTCCTAGAGCCTATGATGTTTTGGTGTTTAAAAGTCATCCTACCGCGACGCCATAAACGTGGCCCGTGTCAGTGCCAAAGGTTGCGATGAGGCCCACAATGACACAAAACATGTATGAGAGGGCCCACCAGGAGTAATTGGGATAATCGGTTTGGATATCGGCAAGTATAGATGAGATGAAAGCAATGAGCCATGCCAGCTAGAAATTGTAGATTAGTCGATGCCGAGTCACGTAGGAGAAAGTCGAACGAACAACTGATATCGAGACGGTCATGAGCGCGAACGGATCGCCTAGGATATTGCTATGTCTGAATTTGGCCATTTCGTCGGCGAGGCTGTCGAATCGAATTATAAGATGATCGAAGAAAAAAAAAGAAGAAACGGCGATGAGCGATGTGGTTATATATAAGGGATTGTTGATTGTTGATTGTTGGGTAAACGAGGCGGAAGGAGTGACTGTGGTTAGTTAGTGTGGGAATGACAGATGTGAGTGCATGAAATGTGTCAATGAAATATGCTAGCGACGGATATAAGGAAAGCGCAACAATGTACTCCGTACGGAGTAGGAAGATTAAAGTACCTTGCTAAGACCGAAGTGGGTTCAGAGGCACTCCGTGGGGTGAAAAGAGAGGTTGGGATCCAAGAGAAGGGTCCCCTTACAGAGAGACAAATACAGCACCAGGCTCGAAAAAAACGGCACAAGAGATAGAATCTGTTTTTAAAAATAAGAAAATATAAAAAAAAGAGTGGATATGATTGAAAGTTGAAAGAGAAGAGAGGAAGATGATAATGAAAAAGGAGGAAAAGTGGCAGATACACCAGTGGAGTCCGGGCCCCTGGAAATCGACGGTCTCGATTCTTATGGAAATTAAGGAAAGTAGGGAAATTAAGAAAATTTCAAGGCTGAGGTTGAGTTGAACTATTAGATTAATCTGAGTGAAATACAATAATCTTAAAACTGTTTAAATTACTCTATTTCCCATTCATCTCGATAGAATAACATACGGAGTACGGAGTACAAACTCGATCTGTGAATCTATAAATATCCAGCCAGTAATTTCTTAGTCACCTCCGCTATGTTCCCAGGTACATGTCTCAGTGAGGCCATGCGAGGACTCCGTCATCCGTATCATATATATTTATATCTTGTATTCTGGATACCTCAATGCCTCAAGACTCCAAAATCAGGACCAAGATGTAGGGCCGTGCCACAATTGATAGGCGCGACTCCAGTTAGGTGACCTGGTCGAGACCAGCCTCATCTTCTTTCTGTTGCCTTGAAGTTTCTTAGAATTAATCCTTTGCTCTTCGAGTCTTTCGATTTTACTTTCTCATGAGAAGGGAGCCGTAACTACTAGCATGGTTGAATACAGAACGACACACCGAGCCCTACCTCGATCGCATCTTAGCGGCCCGTTTAGGTAGATATATATTGCATGAATTTCATACTTCCTAATCCGCAACCCACACTGCACATGCTAAGTGAGATATCATTGAAGGTTCACCTTAGCCTGACATTTCTCGCATACAATGACTCACACAGATCTACCAAAACGACTGTACATGCCCCAAGGCACTAGGATTGTTATAACCTGCCCCCCAAGGAAAATGATTGTGTAGTCACGGTGTAGTCGACCTATAGCGGCGGACGATATGGTGAGACTTTTAGCCCGCAAGGGCTCTCTCTGTGGCGAGACACCTCGGGCATTGAGTCTTAAGCTCTCCTATGAAAACGGACAAATTCTCGCGAGCTACTGACTATAGGGTTCGGGGGTGTCCGGATAACGCCTACGAGGCACATCTATGTATGTCCGTTTAGTTTCACTATCTACTTAGGGTTTAACGCACGCCATATAGTGCACTAAAGGGTCTCATGCTCGGGAGGAAAATGAAAAAAAAAGATATGAACCCAACCCGATTTGAACGGATGACCTTGAGGTCTGGAATCTCACGCGCTACCGCTGCGCCATAGGTCCTGTGTTTGTGAATTAAGAGTCTTGCGTGGGCTTCATAAATGTGTTTCATTTTGCTGGATTTGTATAGATGGTTCTACGCATACGCTCCAGCGCTGGTGGCCTAATCATGTTAGCGAACACACAGCGCCATCTAATCAATTTCGCGGGCAGTGGAAGCCTAAATATAACAAGTTAACAGTTAATTTACCGCTTTCTTCAAAACAAATCAAATTTTGTGGGGCGAAGAATCTGGGGTCAACTAGCGCATTCCAAGTAGCTTTGAACATTCCGAGGAATCTATGGAATGAGGCGTGTATATAGTACCAAAAAATTTTCACAGAATAGATATAACTTAGTGATAGAGAGAGGCCTGGGGGATAGCATTGCTTCCGCCAATTTGGAATGTGTCAATTTCCTAGCTGAACGAGCTGGATATCACAATCCTTCGGATTCCACAAATATAGACTGAGGGTATCAAAGTTTGCCTCCGTATTTTTTCAAAATGCATCCTTCCGTACGTAATAATGTACGTATGTTAACATGAGATTCATAATATAAACACCGTACGCCCAAATCAGATGTATCATAGCCAAAAAAACACATTAGCAACAGTTCGAGACATCATACCTCTCCGGCTCCTCTTCAGGATATCACCCGAAACAAGGCATTTTGACAAGACTCATTTTTAAATCTCCCCCTCTCTCCCCTGCCTAACAACCTCCCCCCTCCTAACCTCCCTCTCAACGTCCTCGAGTCTTCCCTCCCACTCAGCCCAGCACTCCCCACTCCCAATAACCCCGACGTCGTACCAGCGCTGCAGCACACGTGCGGTACGCACTCGCAGCTCTGAGATCTCGGCCGCCTGTTCGCTCTGCATCCGCGCGAGCCGATCTAGCTGTGGCTGTAGCTCAATGAGTGCCGCGGAGCTCTGCGCATCCGGCACGGGGAGGTCATTTAGTGATGTAAGGCGCGAGGCGGTTTCGGGGAAGGCGGTGGCATAGGAGAGGACTATTGAGGCTAGGGTTTGAGTTGTGAGGCCCTCGGGGATTTGGTTGGGTGGTGTTGTTTGGAAGAGATCTGGGTTTCGATCATCTGATCGGGTTGGTGTTAGTACAAAAATAAATGAGACGATTCGGAGTGAATAGGTGAGGGTCCAATATGCGAGTACCAGATGTCGAAATTCAGATAGGGAGAAGGTAAGAGATGAGGGGGCATGTTGTGATAGTGATGCGCGTGTTGTTACATACGGAGCTGTAGAACGTCCCGTACAGCTGGAACACTTCGACGAAGTCGTTCTAGTTCTGATTCTAGCCGTGCGAGTCTGCGAGAGACTGTCTCGTCGAAGGATGCGGGCTTTTCGGGCGTGGTAGGGACGCCAGTCCAGTCTGTGGCGCCGGTGAGGAGGTACGTGAGACGGCGTAGGCGCGCCTCGAGGAGTTCAATAGTGGCACCGGCCACTGCGTCACTGTCAAGAGCCATGGTCTGGAGAGATTTAAGATCAATTGGGGGAGTTGCGAGGGGAATTGAAGGGTGTCAGGAGCTTGGTGAGGTGCAAACATGGCAAAATGTGGGGACAAGCTTATCGGCCACAAAAAGAGCACCTGGACCTCGGGAGGGTTCTACATCCTAGATCGATACATGGGAATATAGGGTCCATTGCAGGGAAAGAATTCAGCTTATGGCCGAAGCTTGATATTGCTCTACAGCCTCTAAATATGTATTCATCATTCAATCGTAATTCATAGGCTTCCCCGCATGCTTCATTCAATGCTAGTCCACATGCTCAAGATGATGTGCTATGTCCGCATCATCTCCATTGTTCCCCCCTGGAACTGCTTGCGAGGCAGTGGGCGCCATAGAGCTAGTTGCGGCACGATGGCCCAAGAGACTCGCTCCACCCTTCTCCTGCATCTCTTGGCTGGGGTTTGGGTCGTCGTCGAACCTGGAGACCTCGTAGTCAAAAACATTCACCTGTGCGGCCTTCTCTGACATTTCAGGCTGCTGTTCTTTGTGCTGGGTTTCTGCGTTGTTCGATTCCGCCCAGGAATCTTCCTGGTCACTAAATATTATGGTAGGGGTATTTTCGAATTCGCTGGCAAAAGCATCATTGTCTGTGTTCACGAAGCCCTGCTTTCAGTTAGCCGGAAACTCTAGACCGATATGAGAGATGCCGTGCGCCTTACCTGAAGCTGAGACGGCGCAGGTTCAATTTGTGCATTCACTGCATTCTCGCTCGCATAAACGAGCAAGACTGAACTCCACTCTTCACGGGCGGCTTGGAGGACTTCAATCTCCTGAACTTTCCGAGTGGTGTAGCCAACAACTTCGCCATCCTGTGTCGGTGTAGTGTTGCCTTGGGCTTTTCTTTTCTCGGCTTGTCGGGTCTTTCCATCTTCCACCGAGAAGCTGATACGCCACCACTGGTAGTCATTACTGTTTTCAGTGTCCGAGTCCATATCCATCAAGTGGGCAGGGGAAATCGTTCTGGAATTTGATAAAACGTAAGTCACATGCGGTTCAGTGCATACGCCTCGTAGCGTATACTTGTGACCAGGGGGCTCGGAAGGTGATTTGGGAGATTCGGTAAGTGTCTTTGATATCTCACGGAGAGACTCCATGGCACTCTGCTTTCTAAGTTCAAGTTCTGCGCTCGTGTTGTTAGCCAATAATATGAGCATTGTAGCAACAGCAGTTTTTACCTTTGAGCTTGGCTTCTATGTTTGTGGCAATTGCTCTCAATTCTTCTGCGACTCGCATTGTCTCCGAACCTACTGCCCCGAAGCTGGATGGATCAGACTCACTCACTTGCTCCCGCGCAACTACTGGCACCGCCTGAGCAGCTTGCTCAAGGAGTTCCGTGATCGTCGAGCTGCCCATGGGTTCCCGTGGGAAGGTGTAGCGATGAATGAGTTGTTCAAGTTTCAACACATCTCCCTGTATCTGCTGTCGTTTTGCACGAAATTCACGAGCCAAATCTCGGCAGCTGCCAAGATACCGATCTGGATAGAACACAGAATGAATGCCCACACCCACGGGGTTTGGTTTTTGAAGAGCATCGAGTCTAATGACTAGCACCTCTGCTAAGTGTTCAAGCCAGGCGTCGTCAAGCTCGTTCCCCGGTCTGTCAGACCATAAAGCCGAATCCAAAACGTCATAGAGCGTTTGGTCATTGTCCTGCTCAACCGGAGGATCAAAAGTGAAGAGCTCCCTGGTATCGTGCTGAGAAAACTCGTACCAAGGTTCTTTCTTGTATGCATGCGACGTGAATATGGTTGCAAGTGGATTTTCAGGATCTGCTTGAGTGGCTGCACCATGCCAAGCCTCCAAAAACCTGGTGACGATCTCCTCTGAATCCACCGATAAGGACGACATGCTATTGATCTTTGCTAAGCTGTCGCTGCTGCCAAAAGCACGTTTCGTGGTATCCATAAAGGCCATCAGCCGCTGGGTCTCATGAATTATGTCATCCCAGTCGCGATCCCCAGTCTTGCCATCATTCACCGTGACAATCTTTGGAAGATTGATCGTTTGCCCGTTCCACCACTGCGACTCATAGCCGTAGTCAAATAGCGGTTTATTCCGCAAGAGCAATGCTTCTCGGGCAAGGGGAATGCTGTGGAGAATTGTCAAAAGCCCTCCTAGATAAATGCCGTTAGGGTTCGGGCGGATGAAAGCAGGCTCGCCCTCTACTCTTTTGCGATCTTCCGGGTCTGGGCTAATCATGACTTCTTCGGAGGACGTGTTGAATAGGGTCATCGCCCAGGCACCTTCTTCGTAATGATCCCGGGTTGCTTTATTGAATTGCGGCTGTTTATGCAGCGTCACCCCGATTTCCTGCTGTCCTATCTCCGAATTCAAAGACATAGCAACTGCCTGCTGCAATTCCTTTTCCTCGCGTTCTGCCAGACTGAGACCTTGTCCGGAACCATCTGTGTGGTCAAATAACAGCAAATTAGCATACCTCTTACAGTTAAAACGTCAAGATTATGATACCTTTCGGAGCGATCGCGATAGAATCTTGATATCCCAAATTTGGTTCTTGGTCGCGTATGTCTGCTCGGGAAGGAGGGCGAGAGGGTGGTACTGTCGTTGGCATCGGTGGCGCATTGTCTTGTTGGGCAAAATCCCATGCTGGGGGCGGAGTATGTTAGTTCCCAAACCGAATTCACACAAGGAAGGTGATCGTACAAGCGTCGGTATTGTCATTCCAGTAACTAGTAATCGGCTTTGAAATGTTAGACCATAGCCAGGAGTTGTTGCGCATCGCCAAATTTACCTTCAGCTGAGAGCCTGTCGGATCTTCGAAGTACGCGTTGATCGCTTTCTGTGAATCGAGGTTGTTTCCCTGTACGCAAAAATTAGCTGTAATGTCATTTATCAGCCCAGTTTCAGTCACCCACCTTCAAAAAGGTTATGGCTTGCTCGCGTGTTGTGCTTGTGAAGCTGACAAAGTTGGTGATAGCTTCCTCGGTCGGTTCGGAGGCCATATTGTATGGTTCTGCACTAGAATTGGAAACCAATAGATCAATGTACAAGCATGGCAATGCAAAAAGCAGATAGAACAAAGGAAATGACGACTGAACGTAGTTGGGAAAGGCACAAGAGAAAGACAAAGTCGCGGAGCTTCCCCACCACATGACGCCAAGCGTCATTCCACTAATTACGTCTCTTTTGTACTTCTTGTGCTTCCCCTTGTCCTCCGGCCATGATTGTTCTCTTCTTTGAGCCTAAAATATACAAGCTTGGAAATTCTCAGAAACTTCTTTCAGTTCTAAGCCTATTCCGAGTTTAACAAGGTGCATCGGTCGGACCAGTTCATGTTTACAATGAACTTGTTTTGTGTTTATGGAGAACATTGTCTCCCTTTCATATGTTTGGATGGCCCGCTCACGGTCTTTACATCACAATACTATTTACGGTTGAAACAAAGCAGTGTAAGATAGTACTACAGCACTTGAATTGTCTGAGAGTTGAGGCGAGCGAGTATAAAGACCCTTCCCTCCCGCACCAGATCATCATTCATCACAACAGCCAGCATTTCACCTTCACTTTCACTTTAGAGACCTTCATCAAATATTCTATTATATAGCGATCAAAATGGCTCAGACACGCAACAAGGCAACCAAGAAGGCCAAAATGGTCAATGCCCCCAAACCCATCAACAAGAAGACTACCAACAGACGTACCACCAGCAAGGCTCCGACTCCTCCTGTCGATATTTACAAGCTCTTCCCACCCTGGGGCTCCGAGGAGGCGCTAAACCAGACTGCAAACCAGGAAGCTACTGATATCCTCCTAGCCGTGTATCATGACATTAACGCCTACTGCAACCTTGAGAGACTTGCGACAGAGAAAGTTTATGGTCCTGTAGAGACTTTCTCCAACCTTCTTGTCTTCACAGAAGGATTTGTGGAACGGGAAATCGGATACTACATGTCCTGCGTGGAATCCTTCAAGGCGGAACGTGGTGAGTTTCAACTGGTCACACCTAACAGCAGATTCTTCGAGTTTGTTACTGCGCTCGGATGGAAGATGTTTGCTATCTGTTCCCATGCCGAAGCATTCCGACGAGGTATCAAAGAAGCCGACGATAGAACCTGGGGGTACCTGGTCCAGAAGATTCAGGAAAATTTCTTGAGCATTGAACTTTTTGCGCACAGCCGCACTTTGAAGTGGCGTAATATTCTCTGGGTCCACCAGGGCTGCGCTATCCCAGGCCTGCCAGATATGAAAGCCGACATTGAGACACACATGGCCTGGAAAGTCGACCACCCCCACCACACCATCATCACACTCGACGGCAAACTGAAAGAGCCCACCTACAACGGCAAGTTACAAGAGCACATTAACGAGAGTATCTATGATCCCAAGAAGTGGAGTGGTCGGAAACAGGACCCGACGCTTCGCCAAATGCCCAATGGTAATTCGACCAATGTTGGATGCGAATGTGCTCTATGCGGCAGCCCCGCTTCTTGCGATTGCCGCTTGACATCTCGGGCAGGAGAACTGGTTGAGCTGAGAGAATACCCTAATACCGGTACTGGTGTTCGAGCGTTGACGAGATTTATGCGCGGTGATATTCTCGAAATCTTCATGGGTGAGCTTCTTCCCGATTCCGTAGAAGAGGTATATCCTCTGACACAAAGCGATGATAAAATCAATGCGAATAAGGGTTCAGTCCGCAATTTATGTACAATTTGTCCCCACCAGTTTGGCAACTGGACCCGTTATGTCAGCCACTCGTGCCGGCCCTCGACGCAGTTCACGACTCGCACCATTGGAGACCGAGTTGTTTGCACACTTGAGGCCATTCGTGATATTCTACCATTTGAAGAGATCACTGTTGGCTATGGTGATAGGTACTGGAGTTCTGCAGACTATGCCTGCCTATGCGGGCACTGTGATGGGTCTGGGATTGAGTAGAAAAAGTCTAATCATCTGATGGGTTATATATTTTGTATTTTGGAGTTGAAAAATGATAAAGATAGCAAAGCTTTGAATTTACCATTTCCTTACTTTCTTTTGATAAATGTAGGAAACATGTACGGAGTAGTGTCCACGAATACAAAGGTGATGGGGTGAATAACGTCGGGTAGTTCCTCGGGATCCCCGCACCAAACTGCGGGGAAAGCTATACTTTCCGCGGACCGGCTGCTATCACCTGTTATTCCAAGCTCATTTGGGTTGAAATCCTTACCTGTTACCTGTTGTAGTGCCCTGTTCGGGGCTGACACAGTCAATTGCAGCCCTCAGGCAGAGTCATGAGACGTTGGTCAAGTTAGCATTGGAATAAGAGCCATGAGCTACAGCGGGATTCTCACAGGCCTTGGCCTGAGAGGCCGTACATCCTTTCGGCAGTCTGTGTTTGGATGGAGGAGAGTCCTTCAGCAAGCACCCCTGGTCAAGAGAGGACTACTGACAGAGAGCTATGCACGTGGGCCATCAGGTGTGAGTATTTTCTGTTCAAGAACAGCACTGAAAAAAAAAAGTCAATTGATGGGTAGCAATATGTATCTGACCATAGTGCTTTCAATTTAGCCACCCTTGATTGAGTCCACAGTTGGGGACCATTTCGCCAAGATTGTTGCGGAATACGGAGACAGAACAGCGTGAGAATAGTCAAGATTGGTCAACTGAGATTCTAAGATGCTAACCATCCGTTATAGTGTGATCTCGAGACATCAGAAGGATCGAGCGACCTATGTCTCCCTAGACGCAAGGAGCAATGCTCTTGCTCGGGGGCTAGAATCAGTAGGCGTTGAGAAGGGAGAGCGGGTTGGAGTCATGCTTGGGAACTCGATGGAATACGCTGTGGTACGATGCGGGATTGTGAAAATACTCATGAGGGAAACAGCAAGGTTAATATTTGTGACCAGGCAACGTACGCGTTGTTTAAGCTTGGCGCCATTTTGGTAAGTTGGGCCGATCATTGTGGCAGGGGACATCGTGTCTAATAATCTTGTAGGTTCCGCTAAACCCATCTTTCAATATTGCACAAGTGATTGCGGCCCTGGGCCACCTGCAATCTAGTCATCTTTTAATCAGCGCAGAGTCCAATATGCCCCGAAAAAAACCACGCAGCAATCTTCCTTTACTAGGTGACCTTATTGAGAACTTGCACAAATCAACCCTGGAGTCTGCACTAGTCCCATCCCTGAAGAATGTCATTATGGTCGACAACTCTGAAGGCCGCGTGGATGTATCTGCCTACAAAAGCTTGACGTCGTATGCATCAATTATGTCCCAACTAAATGCAGACGGCCGCCCGCTTCCTCCTCGAAATCTCTCGTCGGATGAAACTGTGAATATCCAGTTCACGTCGGGAACTACATCAATGCCCAAGGCGGCTTGCCTCACCCATCGCTCCATCCTGAATAACGGTTCTCAGATCGGTGACCGCATGCTTCTCACACCAAATGATATTGTCTGTTGCCCACCGCCGCTGTTTCATTGCTTTGGCGGTATAATAGGCTATATGGCGACAGCTACCCACGGCTCGGCCATCGTCTTCCCCAGCGAATCCTTCAATGCTCGTGCCACATTAGAGGCCGTACAAGAAGAGAGATGTACCGCGCTGCACGGTGTGCCGACAATGTTCCTCGAGGAGCTGAGTATGATCGAGACGGGAGAAATCTCTAGCGAGAGATTCCAGCATCTTCGCACGGGTATCGCTGCTGGAAGCAGTGTTCCTCCCGAGGTAATGAGAAAATTGCACAAAGTACTGAATCTGACCGAATTGACAATCTGTTATGGAATGACGGAAACGAGCCCTGTCTCGGCTATGACAACGACAGATGATCCCATTGACAAGCGGATCTACTCCGTCGGAAAGCTCATGCCACATGTCGAGGCAAAAATTGTGCATCCGGTGAACAAGCAAGATATTCTACCTATAGAGAGACGGGGTGAGTTAGCAGTGAGCGGGTACCTGCTGATGAAGGAATACTGGGCCGATCCAGAAAAGACCGCGGAGGTGATGATTCCAGATGACTCTGGAAAGGTGTGGATGCATGTGAGTTCACTATTCTGTTCTTTGACTTTGATGAAATTCTTTCCTCTGACGTCACGGGTTTAGACCGGAGATGAAGCCTCCATGTCACCAGATGGATACATAACTATCACTGGACGGATTAAAGATTTGATCATCCGCGGTGGCGAAAATATACACCCCCTGGAGATCGAGAATTGCTTGCTAGCCAACAACGACATTGCAGAGGTGTCTGTCGTCGGCGTGCCGGATGTGAGATATGGCGAGGCAGTGGCTGCTTTTGTTATTCCTCGGGACCATGGCTCAAAAACACTTACTGCTGAGGATATTCAGCAATGGGTGCGTGACAAGCTTAGCAACCATCTAAGTAAGTCATAACCCAGCTAGGGAATCTGCATCACTTCCCATTATTTTTAGCAGGTCTTCCCTCATCCTAACAACTGTCCGACGGACTGAGCTGATGTTTTGCTTGCTTATAGTTCCGAAGCATGTCTTCTTCTTGGGCCCTTTGGAGCCTTTCCCCAAGACAGCAAGTGGAAAGATTCAGAAGCTCAAGCTCAGGGAGAAGGCCATTGCGCTTTTGGCAAAAAGTGCCGCCTGATTAGTAAGCAATGAGGTTCAGGCTTGACTCTGCATAGATTACAAGAGGACAAGTGCCTGGTATTTCTGTGCATACTAGTTTGTTGAAGTCTCATTTCTCATCGGATGGAATTGTAATATGGTCATGGAAAGTTAAATTGCGAGCTTGGGTAGATATGTTTCTACTATTTGTCTTGGAAATTGCCACAAATCAACCAAAGGTTGTCAACAAAGGACTAGCAAAAAAATAGCGCAAGGCCGCATAAGCGGCCGACTATTTAAAAGGCCAGTAAGAATCAGAGCAATGTGTTCACTCGGAAGTGAAGCCTCAAAGGTCAAAAATGGTCGACAGACAAGGCTCATTAGCAAGAGCCAGTAGCTGAATAGCACGAAGCCACGAATGTCCTCGAAGCAACGGAGAGTTTTTAACGATGGTGTCAGTGTGAGCACTACTTTCAACCAGGATAGTAGCTCGTGGAAACCAGCGGCCATTGCAGACACATGTGATTATGCCGACATCTACATCTCGACGGCAACACGAAGCTGTCAATGGGGTAGGAGAATAGGAGACCTGAAAGCAGGGTCAAGCTCCTCTTTTGGCTGCTGGAGGGCGAGATATTTCAGACGTAGCCGAGTGATGTCAGATAGACCGCCACGAGCGATATTACAGCAGTAACCAGCAAGCAAGCTTCACCGTAAATAGCTCACATCTCAGGTACATGTGCAACAAGTTTCTCTGAATTCAGAAATCCTGAATGCCTGTTTCACCCTGGAGATTTGGATGAGCGTCGTCCTCGCGAATGCCGTCAATCACCCATTCAGGCTCCTCGTCCTCGAAATATCTGTCTTGCTCATCCGCGTGGTCATCGTATTCGTCATTTTGATCAACAGTCTTGTAGTCGAAATCAGAGTCATTGCCTTGCATGAAACGCAATCCCATCTCCCACCGCCAGAGTCGCTCGCCTTCCTCCTTATTTGGGGGTATCTCGTCACGGTCCTCGGCAAGGATTTCCCCATCTGGACCGCGAGTGTAGCTCATCATGGCGTTAGGGTCCGGGTTTGAGATCGCATCCAACTTGGCTTCAGAACGCAGGAGGTCAGTTTCCAAAACACCTGAGAACCCCTTCGCTCGCCCCTCGGCCTCTCTTTCTTGCGTTGTCTGGAATCTGCGGATGAGGCGATCGTATAGTAACGGGTCTATGGAGAATCGAGCGGGATTAGCACTGTGTTCTTTCTTTTACGCCTCTGCATTCAAAGCCAGCTGGCACCAGAAATAAACCTGGGTAGATAATGTGTAAAATAATCAACTGGCAATGGGAGAGAAGAGAGCAGGCGGACCGGCTAGCTCAAGCCCCGCCGAGAAGTATTCTGGGTGGAAGTCCAGATACCGCTTGCGACGGTTTTTGACAGTGACAGCTGTTTTTGCGCTGGACGCATCTTTGACCGTGAATCCGGAATCCTTTGGGAAATGTGGCATCTTTGATGTATTTTCAGAGTGTGGAGGTGGAGATGACAGAGTTGGGAACGCGGAGCTCGGCGGCAAAAGTGCCTTCACCTCCGCAATAACTTTTTTTCTTGTTGAAGATTATCTTAATATGTTTCTATTTTGAACGCGTAAGTCAAGGATCTGATTCCAAGTACCTTTTCAGTATTCATTGAATGTTTATTGCAATAAGGAGGGAAAGGAGACAAGGACACAGTGTCAGATTGCTAAAAAAGGTTACAGATGCTCCATCTTGGTTAATTTCCCTAACATCCAGAACTGCATCAGCTGGAAATCATGTCTGTCCAGGACATGTTGCGACACATTGATGTCCGCCGGTTCACTACCGGCGTGGTTTTGCTGATCTTGCTTGCCTTCTACTCGCCCCTTTCGAAGCTTGTCTTGTCTCCAACATATGGATCACTCCCCGCGCATATCTTCCATAATTTTGGAGTAGCCATCTTCGGTGGGGTCGGATGGCTACTTAAGGATCAAATTCTCAAGCGCCTGGGCCGTCTCGGTGGTTTCATGCTCCCTGTGTTGGCATTCTGGGTTCCGACTCTCCAGTACTTTATCAAGCAGCAAAGCTCTAAAATTGGCAACCCCACAGGCCCAGTGATCACAGAGCTTTGCGGTTACTATCCTCTGGTGCTGTTGACCGTCGCCTATGCTGGAAAGCAAATTCAGACTGCTTTGAGACTCGAAGCGCAGGGCGACGTGATCGCTGAGCATGTGCCCTTGATAGGTACGTATATCTTCTATTCAGCTGGCGATCACATTGCCCAATTTGTTCTTTCATGGATTGTTGGGACTTCGGTACTTTTTACCAGAGTCGGCATGCAAATACTCCTCGCGGCCGCCTACGCTGCGCTCATCCCATCAAAATGGCTAGTCTTGGCCATTCCCTCTATAATTTTCTCAGTGACCTCAAATGTCCATTTCGCTGGAATTAGTGGTGTCAATTCTGCAATTGAACACGAAGGTTACTCTCTCTTGGCACGACAAGAAGCTTACACAGGATACATTTCTGTTTTGGAAAATCAGAATGACGGATTCCGGGTTATGCGCTGCGATCACAGTCTGCTCGGTGGACAGTGGACCAAGTGGGCATCAGGCTACCAGCCTGAGGTTGAAGATCCTATCTATGCTGTCTTCGCCATGCTCGAGGCTGTCCGTCTGGTTGAGCCGGACCATGGTATTCCCCGCATCGACGCAGACAGCAAGGCTCTGATCATGTAAGAAACATGGAAACCCAATCAATTACCCAGTTTACTGATAATAAACAGTGGTCTTGGAGTCGGCACCACCCCATCTGCACTCATCAAACACGGCATTGAAACTACCATCGTCGAAATCGACCCTGTCGTGCACAAGTTCGCCACTCAGTATTTCAACCTTCCGCCCAACCACATCCCCGTCATTGAAGACGCCACAAAATTCGTCAAGAAGGCAGAATCCTCCCCAAACACACCCCAGTATGACTATATCGTCCACGATGTATTCACCGGCGGTGCCGAGCCCGCCGAACTCTTCACATACGAATTCCTCTCAGGCCTCCACTCGCTCCTCAAGGAAGATGGTGCCATTGCTATCGTGAGTCACATGAAACAATAAGCCCTTCATTTTACCACACACTAACGTTGAAAATATAGAACTACGCTGGTGACTTGACGCTCTACCCAACCGGTCTCGTCGTCCGCACTATTCAGGCGGTCTTCCCATCTTGCCGCATTTTCCGCGAAGAACCCGCCGGAGAGGACGAAGACACCGACTTCACCAACATGGTTCTCTTCTGCAAGAAAAGCTCCAACACACCGATTCAATTCCGTGACCCTGTGCCGGCAGACTTCTTGCGCAGCAAGTCTCGTGAAAGCTATCTGGTTCCCAAGCACGAACTCGACCCTGCCATGTTTGCCTCTTGGCCTGAGGCTGGCAGATCTCTTCTGTGGGCGAAGGAGGTCGGAAGGTTGTACAAGTACCAGGATCGCAGTGCGCTCAAGCACTGGGCTATCATGCGCAAGGTTCTGCCTGATGCCGTGTGGGAGAACTGGTGAGTGTTGAAAGGGAGCTGAGTAAAACTCGATCGAAGATCGAATATTGCTCTTGCTTTTGAATTGTCTTTCTGTGTATTTCAAAGGATTGAATGGTACCAAATTTTAGCAAAAAAGACTACGAGAATTTTTTTCTTCAGTTCTATCAAGAAGCATTTTAGGGCATTGCTTAACAATAGTAACTTCAATAGGAAGCATACACATCTGCTTGTTGTTTCGTCCTTTCTCCTGCTAGGAAGATCTTTAGATCAACAAATCACAGACATCTTATTGGTATCATTATCCAACACCTGCCAAAAAGCCATGGGGCCCCCCGTCACTGCTAGAGTGATAACAGAGCGACTGCCTCTCCTTCACAAATGTGCGGTGAAAGGCCCCCAAGAGCTCTTTCATCTCCATATATCAAACCGCCCAGCCCATCGCCAGGAGCGAGAGTTCCAGCCCCTGTATCATGTACGCACAAATAACTAAAATACAGTGAGAAAAGAATGAATCAAGCTGAGGGGCTGCCACGAGGACTTGGGCCAGGTTTCTTGACGAGGCCAGCGAAGAAGTTCGCCAAGGCTTGGTTGTGGGCTTTCTCATCATTGCCGCCGGTGCCTGCATATGGGCTCTCTTTCTTTAGGGTTCGGCTAGCCTCACGGTCCTGGGGATAATGTTTAGCTATGTCCGGGAAGGGTGCTGACGCCACGCTAGTTGGGTGCTTACCCGAAGCTTTTTCAACATATCATCGGCGTCCACTTGAATTCCGCCCATGTTGAACTGTACAGGGCCGATGTGATCGTTGACTTTGCCTTCGTCGGCCATGGGAGACATCTCTAGTTGGGGGATTGGCTGATTTGAATTCTCCTTTTCATCCTTGGCTTTGAGTTCCTCTAGTTTCTCCACTTGGGCAGCGAAGAAGTCTTGGAGGTCAGTGGTCTCGATTTCAATCTTGGTCGTGTTGCCATTGGGGTTGGCCGCGCCTCGTTTGGGATCGGTGATCGTCTGTTCGAACATGGTCACTGCGCTTGTGCCTTCTTCTGTTGGGCTGTTCTCACTCTGCTGGTTGTCGTCGGTGGATTGATAGATTGACTCGGGAGGATCCTGGATCTCAATTGACCACGCTGTCGATACTCCTTCCATGTCAAATCCTTCCCGAATAATTCGGATCTTACCCCACGAGTCCCAGTTAGCTGGCACCAGGATCTTGTCTCGGTCAATCACATTATGTTTTAATGATTCTCTTTTCAAAAGAGAGTGTATGCCCAGAGAAGAATGAACTAGGCCCTGAAGAGAGTTTGCAAGAAATGGGGTAGTATAAATGAGCGATGCGCCGTCTGTCTAAGGGTCAGAAAAGAGCTCAAAATGGCCAAACACAGGGTGATAAATTCCTTACGCTTCAGAAGAATCGTTCTGAGGAACTGGAGAACGAAGTCGAACTGCTCTTCATGCCATCCATAATCTTTCTCCAGTTTTTCGATCTTATCCGCCTGAGAACATCGAGGAGTCAGGTCAGCAACGGTTTACCAGAAATTGATTTCCGGATAATAGTTTACGTACCCCTTGGCAGACAACACACATTGGGATTCCGAGGCCCTCATCCCACTCACCAGGTCCTAGAGGTATTGTGACCGGACCGCTTGAGTTTGACATGCCGCCTGCAGCTGCAGAACTGGGATCAATTCCCCTTTTGCGATCGCGCCATTCCGTCATAGTCTCTTCCATAACGAATTTGGTTTCATCGTCAAGCGAAACGAGCACAGAGCGCAGTAGACGGGTCCATTCTCTTAGCCGTCGAACCCATGTCCATGGGTCTGACCAGTCCATCAAGATAACAACTAGTGTTTCCGGGACGGACTTGGGAGTCAGGAGTGGTTTGAGGAGAGGTGCAAATGACGGAGAAGGCTCCGAAAGCAGATAGGCCGAGACACGGGCCAGAGTATCTGCATGAAAAGAGCATTAGCATAGGAAAAATTAGGAAAAGAGGGCATTTTCCCTGTACCTTCCTTATCCGCATCGAGGACATCTCGATATGTGTATCCAAGCGCAAACTGATTGGCGATTGGTGGTGTTCTCCCTTTACCTTTCCGCTTGTCATTTGCTAAGCTGGGGTCTGCAGACGTATCTGCAGAAAAAGTATCTAGAAATTCTCTTTGGCTGTCCGGCGTGCCACCTATCACCGAGCTATCAGCGACATATCCAAGAATTGAAAGACAGAACCAGCACTGAGGATGAGCAGGACTGGAATGCTCGGACGAAACTGATACTAACCTAGCACTAGCAAGTTCTTTTCAGGCAAGCGCTTGCCGTTGGCAACAGTATCTAATAGAGAGGACCAAATGTTCTTCTTGGAGCCATCTTTGCTCGTTGGTCGACTGCTCGTTCCGGCTGCCTTCGACCCAGGATTCGGACTGGAGGACATTGTGTGTAGTCCTATTATGCCTCAAAGGGCATTAACCCTTCCAAATCCTTCCAAATGTTTGTCTCTACCGTAGCACAGCGGAAATATTGTGCGCGTGGAAATGTGGAGGCGGAGGGGGAGAAAGGCAAAGCAGCGTCGCAGTGTCAGGGGAATCCCGAGGGAGATAGGTAAATGTTGGCCCCGGTGAATACAACCCTTCTTGCGAAAGGATTTCGGATTGTAAGTCACCAAAAAAGAGGAAGGTCTTTTTCTGGCACGTCGAGCAGGGGGCTAGTTTGCACTATGAAGGTGCGTCTCCGTAAACAATTGATTATTACGGTTCCGCGGGTCTCCACATTTCTCTCTCTCCAACTTCTGCCACATCTTGAATGTTTCTCTCTCACACGCATTTTACCCCATGAATTCTATTCGCCAGGTCCAGGCGCTCAATAAGCGCGAGCTTGAGCATGCGATGTGAGTTGGAACATGAAGATCTCTCAACGCTCTTTTTCCCGCTGACAATCTTATCTTCCACCTACAGACCCCCAGAGGCATCATGGCATGCAGACTACCGCGACACAGCCTATATCTACATCGGAGGGCTTCCATTTGATCTATCGGAAGGTGACGTTATCGCGATTTTCTCGCAGTATGGAGAACCGGTACATGTCAATCTAGTTCGCGACAAGGAAACAGGCAAGAGCAAGGGATTTGCCTTTCTGAAATATGAGGACCAGCGCAGCACGGATCTTGCCGTGGATAACCTCGGCGGTGCAACTGTCATGGGCCGCTTGCTTCGGGTGGATCATGCGCGCTATAAGCGGAAGGATGATGAGGAAGAGCAGGACAATGTCGCCAAGTTGATGGGAGATTCGGCTGCTAGTGAGAACAAGAAGGTCAAGGAGCATGACCGGAGAGAACTCGAAGAAATGCGACCGATACTGAAAGAGGAGAAGGAGCTAGAAGAACTGATTCGGAACCACGACGAGGAAGACCCGATGAAGGAATTTCTCATCGAGGAGAAGAAAGAAGAGGTCGCTGCTGCAATTCAGTTGTGGAACAGCACCAAGAAGTCATCTAGACGACGCGATGACAGCAGAGAACGATCAAGCCGGCACCACCGCCGACACCGCTCCCGCTCCCCTCGTGAGCGTAGACATCGAGATAATCGTTCTCTAGACAAGGAGAGGCGATCTCGCTATAGGTCACCCGAAAGGGGAGAAAAATCCAGAAGGGACCGATCACCAAGGAATTCGCGCTCGCCCGAGTCCCGAAGACACCGCAGTGACCGAGATAGGCACGATCGCCGCCATTGAAAGCTATACGAGATATTATCATATAAAGTCCCCCACGGTTGTCTACGACGCTGCTACAAATCTTTCTCGCTGAGATCCTCTCCTTGCAACTTGGGTCATCTTGGGCCAAATAAGAGTGCTCCCCAGTCCAGAAAGCGATGCAATGATTCAAGCTTGATGTTGATAATAAGCTGGATGCTGCGGACAAGGTGTTCGTTATTTGTTGTGCGATACACTGCAACCCTTGTTGTGACCTACTGGAGATTGTTCTTCGGTCAACCAAGGTATCTTTTCCAGCCATCCCGCGAGCAGTATCTCTTTCCTTCCTCGCCCTCTCGAAGCACAAATTTCTCCCAACGCCCTTCTTTCCCAGAGCCAACTACCAACAGAGTCTGGTCATCGTACCAGCCTATGAGGCCTATTTGAGGTCGACCAAATGATGGCCCCATCGGCGGGACATGCGGGGAGCCCAGGTTGGCTTGTTCGCCAATCTCGAAATGTGCGCTGGCAAATGAATAAACATCCGAGAAGACACGAGGAAGCAGGGGAATTTTGCCAAGGATTCCCCATTTCTGGCTAGGAGCTGCTTCCTCGGATGCTGGTGACGGTGACTGACTGCGATGATTGACGGGTTGCTGGTGGGGGATATCAAAGATGTGGAGAGTGGACTTGTCAGATGTTACTGCCAGCAGAGTATTGGACGGCGAAAAGGAAATTGAGAAAACCACTGCGTGATCAACACCGCGTCGCAATTCTGCCAGCTTGGTGCAATTCCCTGTAGCGAATATACGAACCAAAGTTCCCTGTACAAATATTAATAAACCACCCATAGATGATTTCAGCCAAGAGAACCTACTGACTCACTCGCAGTCGCCAGCAAACTCCCATTGGGACTTAGGGCCATAGCACGCAACGGTGTGCTATGTGCGGGTATGATGCTGATATTGTTGGTCTCCAGCTCAATCAATTGGACTTGGCCCGGGGACCGACCCGGAAAGGCCAGCACCTTGTTATCGAGACAGGCCAGCCCTAAAAAGTTGTCGGATGTCTCAAAGACAGAGAGTTTCTGGGGAGGATTGGAGAATGAGAATATATGAACGCTGTTCAATAAAACAGCGACGATTTTTGATTTGGAGAGGCGGACACCGAGGACGGAGGTGCGGAATTCAAGCGTGATGGCTGCTTTCTGTTTGGCATCGTCCCATATAATCAACTTAGGGATCCCTGTGAGCTTAGATACCCATAAGTCGTGCTAGAAATGATTGCTTACCTTGTTCTGTGGGAACTTGGGATTTTTTCCACCCCCGACAATAGCTAAGTAGTTTGACTGGCCAAGCATCTCCGCAACCCCAATGCCCGCATTGAAATCTTAAATGAAAACAAGGTAGTCAGAATAAACCTTTTCATCTTTGGCTTATGCCCGACCTTTGAAGATCAACCGCTTACCTCTCAAAACCTTGAGCTCGCAAGGGTTGGCGTTGTATACTGTTCGAGTCGTTGATCAGCCTCGGCTTCCATAGTTCATGGCATAAGCTAGCTTCTTCCAAGGTTCCCCGTGGCAGATGACTGAAACTTCCCTTACCACAAAACCCGGTATCTAAGCCCACTGAGAAGCAGCTGTTATCGTGATTAAATGTTGCTGAGAGTGAATATGGCCCGGTGGACTCATCGATGGATTGGCGGGTATTCATCGCTGTATGTTAACAATTCATAGGAGGATTTTTTTGATCGGATAGATAGTTGGAGATAGATGATGTATAGCGAATTCCCCAAAGCCTAATTAATAGTTGATATTAAGGTCTTAAAGGATCTTTCCAGGTTCAAATGGTTCAAATGGCTTCATAGGATGTCTGGGATCATCCCCGAGCTTCTTAATCGATAAGAGCAATGCGGGCAAGATCCACATCGACACCTCAGGCCATCAATTATATAATCGAACGGTTGCCAGCAGCGACCCACTTTGATCAACCCCTGAGTTGCTACTTCAGTTTGTTGACGAGGATCAAGGCAATATTAAGCATGGGAATAGGGGGAATGCTAAGCATTGGATTGACTATTTAATGCGTCTTGTTTTTTCGTCGAAATCCACCAATCCATTGTGACTGATCAAGAGGTTTTGTAGTAGTGAAAAGTAGCAGACTGGATAAGAAGAGCTGTCCCGTGATTGGCCACCTATTTGGGAAAGGGGGAAACACGAACTGTCTTTCCTCCCCCCCTACTCTCTCCAGACTCTCAGGAGAGCCAAGTTTCACACCCTTCCTCCTCGTTATTAATTCCTTGCTTTGGGCTTCTTTTTCCGGATCACACTTCTTTAATCTTCCTTTAGCTCACAATGTCGTCAGCCCTCAACGCGGTATGTACATTCTCCCCTTTTGTTGGAAGCTTCCCGCTTTCTCAAAAAGTTTCCCAAGCTAATTGCATGCCCGTACTCGTTCCGGGTAGATCAAGATTCGTCGCAAGAAGAATGTCAAGAAGGGTATCCAATTCTGTTTGATGGTGTGCGGCGCCAGTGGAACAGGTATGTTCTAAACGAATTACTTGACTTTCCGGGGACTAACCGGTTCTCCTTTCTGCAATAGGTCGCACAACTTTTGTCAACACTCTCTGCGGCAAGCAGGTTCTGGAGGGCAAGGATGCCGATGATGCTGCCAATGCTCACCTTGAAGAGGGTGTCCGTATTAAGCCCGTGACTGTCGGTCAGTTGAAACCGTCCCCCGCGCACGGCGCTTACATTAAGCTATCAATACTGACACCGGGACGACAGAGCTCGAGTTGGACGAGGAAGGAACCCGCATCGCCCTGACTATCGTCGATACCCCCGGATTTGGTGACCAGATTGACAACGAGGCCAGGCACGTACCCACGGATACCCCACACATGTTCATGGACTGACTTTTCGGATAGCTTTGGCGAGATTGTCGGTTACCTCGAGCGTCAATATGATGATATTCTTGCAGAGGAGTCGCGAATTAAGCGTAACCCTCGATTCAGGGATAACAGAGTGCACGCTCTGCTCTACTTCATCACACCCACCGGTCACGGTCTCCGTGAACTAGATATTGAATTGATGAAGCGCCTCTCTCCCCGTGTTAATGTCATTCCTGTCATCGGAAAGGCCGACTCGCTCACCCCCGCCGAATTGGCCGAGTCCAAGAAACTGATCATGGAGGACATTGAACACTACCGCATTCCCGTTTACAACTTCCCCTACGACATCGAGGAGGATGATGAGGATACTGTGGAGGAGAACGCCGAGCTTCGTGGACTGATGCCCTTCGCCATTGTCGGCTCCGAAGACTTTGTTGAGATTGACAACCGGAAAGTCCGCGCGCGTCAGTACCCATGGGGTGTTGTCGAGGTTGAGAACCCTCGTCACTCAGACTTCCTGGCTATCCGTAGCGCTTTGCTCCACAGTCACTTGGCTGATCTGAAGGAGATCACTCACGACTTCCTTTATGAGAACTACCGTACCGAGAAGCTCAGCAAGAGCGTCGATGTTGGATCTGGGTACGTTTCTCTTGATACTATAAATCTCGATGATTAATTTGCTAACACGCGAATGAGCAGTGGCTATGATTCTGCTATGAACCCCGAAGATCTTGCCTCCCAGTCTCACCGCCTCAAGGAGGAGCAGCTCCGCCGCGAGGAGGAGAAGCTCCGTGAGATTGAAATCAAGGTACAGCGTGAGATTGCTGAGAAGCGACAGGAGCTGTTGGCTCGCGAGAGCCAGCTCCGAGAGATCGAGGCTCGCATGCAGCGGGAGCAGCAAAGCCAGGGCAATGTCGGCGAAGCAGCCAACGGAGAGGCCTAGATATACCCTGTCGACGATGTGGCTCATTCAGCGGGGCGCCGGTTCGCATGTGATACCGTTTGTGCCAACAAGGACTTTTCACGGCACCGACAAGTTGGCTTTTGTTTATGGGATAATATTGACTGTTTATTCACGTTAATAGCTTTTTTCTTCTTTTCTTCTTACCTCTGCGGGGATGGGCCACTCATAGATTACGGCACTCCGGTCGCGAATTGTGGGTGCAATGCTTCTCACTTACAATGGGAGACCGAACTATGTTGAGTTGGGAATTCTTTTTGCCAGTTTCTGGAATCCCGATCCTCGATGTGTTTCGCTCGAGTTCAACCCGGTGACTGTCTTCTTTCCAGCACGTGTTTTCTGTCGTGCCCAGGTCATCCTCCTTCTTTTTCTCTTTTGGTCACATCCCAGCTGCCTCCGTGATATGGTGCCGTATCATTTCTCTTTCCTCCTCTTCTCTGCTTCCTCTCCTGTTCTTGTCCAAAGTCCGCAGCGCAGCAATATTCCCTCTTCCCTTGTTTTTTTTTGCGTTCGTGGCTCCTGTCTCCTGTCTTGCTCATTTATCTATCCTTTCTCCTCGCCTTCTTCCTAACCCCTTTGATAGTAATTGAGGAAGAAAAAGTACTTGACTAGCTCGCTTGCTACTTTAGTCAGTTACTGTGTACTATCTCAGGGAGTAGTAGCATGATTTGGTTTATGGCTATAGCCAAGCCGTCCACCTGGAAAATCATCTACACAGATTGAAATTTTTGTTCTGGGCTTGCTCGACCTTAAAGTCAGGCGAAGAAAGATGTGCAAGTTTAGGGCTTCACCAGCAAAGCGATTAAGTTCTGCCTAATTTCATAATTCCCTGTCTGCTGGTCTAAATCAATAGAAGAACAGTTTATATGCTATTCATTCCATTGTACAAATTGCTGCACGTCGATCAATCACCAAGTTCTGGGCTACCAACATGGAGATACACATCTCATTGCTTGATGTATACATATTATTTCAATATGCTAACATCAGAGAGCGATGGAAAAAGAATGTGAAAGAAGATCGAATACTATGATTGTATTAATCACATTAACCAACCAAACTCAAGTCTACTACAATTCTCCCCATCTGAAATGCAATGGTGCCGTTCACATTAATGGGATTCCGAAGTATAACAGACAAAGATGCCTCAAACTCAAAAGGATACAGGTAGAACGAAGATGTCTCGAGAATATGGCCATGTGGAAGGAGACAGAGCCATCGGGAGATAGAAGAGCCAAAGAAGAAAAGGTAAAAAATTTTAAAATGAAGAAAAAAAGGGGCATATGCAATCAGCATAGAGGGTAAAAAAAAACGAAACGCAGTGAAAAGCAAGAAAGCAGACACGCAAGAAGTGGTATTTGTGCTCCATTGTACATTGCGTAGAAATGACGGGAAAAAAACCCCGATCTGATGTGATTGGTGTCGAGGAAAGGGAGGAATTGGTGTTGTGAAGTAGATGCGGATGATCCCCTGAACTGTTGTACAGACAACAAGTACAGACAGTCACAACTTCAGGAGTGTGCTGCAATGGTGTATGCAGTGAAGGTTGAGTGCCATTGATAACCGTAGAAAGAGACCTCCCTGATGCTCTACGAGAAGAGAGATGCGGGCGACAGCGGCGATGTCAAGCAGGGTTTCATTGTGGTATGCACCCGTCTGACATCAAGTGGCGGCTGGCTGTGGCTTGTTGGTCCAGAAATCTAAACTGGCAACAGTGTCATATCCTTGCTCATCTTCGTAGGCGTAGATAATCTATCAAAACCAGTCAGCGCTTGATCAGTGATATAAAGCCCGTGGAGAAGCCACCCGGGGACCCAAAAAAAGAAAATTGAAGTGACATACCTCGCGAGTGGAACTGTGTAACATGCGAATATTCTTGCCGGTCATAAGATGCGTCAATTCACTTGTTTCGACGTGTCGAATTTCAACGAAATTGGGTTCGAACGCCAGGATGTAAGGGTAGGACAAGGCGAAAGAGTTCGGGTTGCCTTCCCAGGCGATCCTCCAGTCCGGACGGGCTCGCCACCCGTTGCGGTTGACGAAGAATGAGAAATCACTATAGTTGAGTAGGAACTCGCCGTTCAAACGCTCAATATGGATGGGCTTGACATTCTCCTTTCGTGCCACAAAATCAAGAGATGTGTCGGCTTGGTCAAGTAGAGACTGCGTCTCCGTTGTTTCCAAACTGACCACTTCAAAGCCACGTGCACAACCGACGCACAAAGTAGAGCGCAGGAAGTGAATGGAAGAAGACTCGGCAGGGATGTAGTATTCCTGAGTGAAACTGTTAGTATGAAGTGAACTACAAACATGCGAGATATAGTTCGAACCTTGAATGGCTTAAGAGTATCCTGGCCACCCTGGAACATTTTGCTGACAGCAGACTTCTTTTTTCCCTTTGCCAGATTGTCCATCGGCTCGTAGACCTTGATAGTACTTGACAGCGCCGATGTTTTGACCGAACAGACAAGATGACGACCGAGACCAATGCCTGCCTTGAAAAAGTTGGCATGACCCTGAATTTTCTTGGGCCGTTTTGCCATGCTGTTCTGGCCCTCAACGTAATCGAGAGCGTCCATTGGATAAGAAGAAAGGGTTTTGTTTGCCAAAACCAAAAGCAGCTGGTACTCTTCTAGAGTGTCGATTTGCGTGACTTGAGTGGCCTCTAGAACCTTTCTTGGTTTTGCAGTTTTGTCCTTGGGCCAGCGTTCAGAGACGAATATACCATTATCAGTCCCGTAGACCAGCTTTCGGCCTCCGTCTAGTAGTAGTTAGCGAGTGAGACTTTATTTGAATACGAAACTTTTCACTCACCAATCGGAACAAGACAGTTGATCCGGTTGACCGCTGCGAAGAAGCCCTCGCTCAGGATCGTCTTGTTGTAGAAATTGCTGTTTCGCTCCCACAGTTTGTGTTGTTGCTGCTCTACTGCTTCAATAAACTTCCGCCGTGTGGCGCCGCTCGTTGCATAGAGAGTTTGTTCGTAACCACCTTTGCCGAGATGTCTAAACGTGATAGGCAGGCCGCCATCTTTGGCAGGAGGGGGATTGTTGATGACAGTCTTGTTGGACAGGAGACTGGACGAAGGTCTTTTGGCAATACCCAGTCGTGGGATAACCTCTTCCATCTGAGCGATTACTAACAGTTCCAAAGGAATGGGTTTCCTATAAACTCGAGATTCCTCGCGTTTATTCACCACTTTGACACGAACTAGCAAGACGGCATGGTCAAAGAGATACGCAGTAACATCGGAACTATCGGCTGTAGTCTTCTTGAATGACATCTTCATGAGCATTTGCCGATTTTCCTCTGTAAGCTTCAAATCAACATAGTCCGCTGAGTTGAACTTCAGCGCAGCGTTCAGTTGGACCAAATTGAAATGGTTCTCCGCTTTTCCACTTTCGGCATTGACACGCGAAAGGAAGTCCTTGATCAGCTTGATGGCCTTCGGAATATCTTCCTTGTCAGGAGTTCCATCCGCACTATTTTTGTAAACACCTTCAAGCAAAAGCGGGTATCTTGCAAGACGAGTTGTAGGCTTCGTCAAGTAACCGTTCAATTCTAGCTTTCGGGATTCCTTGAGACGTTCCGTGTCCTCAACAAATTTGGCGAAGGCTGGGTTTGATGCTTTTTCCTTCTCAAACTCGTACTTTCCGTAAAGTTGGTTGGCACCATATTTGATAAAAGGATCAAAATTGGGAACATGTTGACAAAAGATGTCACCAATGGTTTGAACGACTGGACTCTCCTTTTGTCGAGCATTCAGGGCTTCACAAAGAGCGCTGTTAACCTTGAGAACTTCCAAGCAGTTGCCAAACACGGTTCGGATGAACTTCTCACGCCGGTGCTCCGGAATTGGGGAGTGAGTGGCGGTTCCAGCAGCGCGCAATGGTCGCATCCAGAAATCTCGCAAATATTCTAGATCCTTGACAAAATCACGCTCCGTGTACATGACCTCGAAGATAATCTCCTGTCGTTTCTTCTCGTGATCGTCAACAGAGTCCGAGACCTCCTTGGGCACTGTGCTAATCCACAACTTTTGATTATCATTGTCGTCATCATCATCGGGAGGAAGAGCAGTTTTGGATTCCGATGTTCCCAGTACCTGCTGAGGTTTCAGATTCAACCTGGCTTGCTGCTCGAGTCGTCGCGGACAAGCAATGGAATAGCAGAGTGTGTCCCGGTTGCAAGTAGGAGAATAACATTCAGTTAAGAGGGTGAAGACACCATTAACCTCGATTGTCGACTTGTCTTCTCCCATTGTTTCCTTAAATTGGTAGACCTCTCCGGGTGCATCTCGAAGACGGTGGTCATATGTGACATCGTGGAAGAACTTTTGAGCATCCAGCGCACGGCCGAGCAGAAGAGCGAGGTTGCGGTCGTTGGTTCTGATGATAGAGCTGATCAAGTCAACCGAATCAGTACCAGAGAAAGCATTCTGGTACGAGAGACCGTTTTTCTGTCGTTCGCCGAGTGAGATCTTCTCCCTGAAAACCTCAGCGACGAGAGAAAGTAATGCAGGATATACCACCGGAACTTTCCGCTGCGAGTCCCTAGAAACAAGGGTAACTTGACCGGAGGAGGCCTGTGTGGCTTGGCTTTGAACGCTCATCGTCCGATCGGGCGCAACGGTGGATGCCATGGACATAGTCCGAGATCTCTGTGATGCATCGCTTGGTTGACGAGATGCAACAGACTCATCAGGACTGGGCTGCATCGTTGAGTCGTACCTTATTGGAATCTGCTGGTCGTGACTTGACGGAGGTCTGCGGTGTGGAATTGGCCTTCCGCTGTTCATAATATGCGGATCCCGATCCGATGACCAGGAAGTCATAGACATAGCTCGTTCGTTCGCATGTTTTTCTGGGACAGGTCGACCGAGCTGTGTGACCTGGGCCCCAGCATGATACTGCTCACGGCGAGAGGCAGTGGCAGATGTGTGATTGAAGTTGCTTGAGGGGTTTGATAAGGCGGCCCGCTTAGTTTTGCCATTGATCTTGACCGGGACGAATCAGAATTCAGCGCAGGAGGAGGCATAGCGCGATTGAAATCCCTAAGGTCTGGGTATTGCGGAGTAGGGCTTGGTCTTGACTCGAGGCGTTGAGGTCGAGGATAGGCAGCAAAGCGTTGTTGGGTATTTGGGTTGTGTCGAGGGGGCTGATATGAAGACATTGTTGCCGAGGCCCCTGGATTGTAGGCCTGATATTGCCCAGACTGTGGGGGAATAGGGTATCCATTTGGTGGTGCCGATGGCGGTCCTTGTCCATTTGGCATCTGCCGTGTTGGCGGAGGCGGCGGTCTTTGAAATTGGGGTTGTGTGACATGCGACGACATGGTATGAGCGCGAGCCTGGGAGAATTGTGGGGTCTGCGAGTTCATGGTATGGGAGCGTCCTGCGGGTGGTGCGCCTCCGAAGATGTCAGAATACGCTGCATCCCGCTGCGTGGACGAGGCGGGTCCGTGAGGCCGGTAATTCCGGCTACGTTGGCCCCCCAAATCCGCCATTTTCACGATTTATCAGCGATCGAGGACGATTAGCGGCAGTTTAATCAGATACGCAAGTTATATCTATCTCGGAATGCGAAGAAGGCGAAAGGGGTATCCGGATTGATCGTGGAGAGCGTTCAGGGCGTCGCAAGAGGTCTGTTCAAGATCGTAGACAACGAGAGAAACAATAGAGGTGGAACGTGAGAAAAGATTCCGTAGGTAATGACCTGAAATAATGGATTGTCTCAAAGCACTGATGGGACTCAAGATTCCATAACTCCTCTCAGTCTGGATGGGGAATTTAAAGGCGATATCAAACCGGTATTAATGGGAAAGCGCCAGGAGCCGTGAGCGCAACAAATTCAAGGCTCCTTTCGATTTCATGCCCTCAGCATCCTCCAGTATTCGAGGTGAGTGGCAAAGGTAGGAGAGTTGTTGAAGGTGAGGGTGATAGTTGGATGTTGAAAATGCAGTAATAAACTGAGGGGGGGAGAGGGACCCAGGAGAACGAGGATGGCTAAGGTGACGGCGAGGCCGGTATGGTAATTTCAATAGAAAGACTCCTGATGTGCCCGAAATAGGGCGCTTAGAGCCGACATCTGAAATACAGTGGGTACGGTATCGTCACCGCCCAGAACGAGACAATGGCGTGGACTACGGCGGGCGAAATGGCCATGTGGAACACCCAAAGCCCCGAAACCTCCAGCTATCAACAGCCCGAACTTCTCACTGTACTTGATATTGATTGTATCAAACAGGCCTCATTTTCTTCTTTTAAATCACTAGTGATTTGCAAGTTTGGTCTTGCTCCAACGTCACGATGGCAGACAGTGAGCTTGCGCCCAAGTTCGCTCCGTTCTTCTCCTTCGTGAGTTCAAGGTCCCGAGAACGTTGGCGTTGATAGACTAACAGGCTTCCTAAACTAGGCTGGAATTGCCGCTGCAGTGAGTTCCTCATATGGTTGTTCCGATTCGACAGTACACTAACAGTTCCCTCCAGATGATCTTCGGGTGTACGTGAAATACCTCGCGTGGATGGAGCTAGCTCTCTAGGTTCTAGGTATTCGGACAAACAGCTTACCATCTCACAGCGGCAGGAGCGGCTTATGGCACAGCAAAGTCTGGCATTGGAATTGCAGGTGTGGGGACCTATAGGGCTGATCTCATCATGAAGGTAGGACACCAATTATCCAGGATTGCTAGTTCCGTGATGGATTAGACGGTAGCTAACTGAGTTCGTTGCTGCAGTCCCTCATTCCCGTTGTTATGTCCGGTATCATTGCGGTTTATGGTCTCGTTATCGCTGTGCTCATTGCGCAAGCAGTGGGCCCAACAACCAATATGAGCTTGTACACGTATGTTTCGAGAGTTGGGCTGATGTGGAGCTTGGAACAAGCTAACACTGCACAGAGGCTTCATGCATCTTGCCGCTGGGATGTCAGTTGGTCTCACGGGTGTGGCTGCTGGTTATACAATTGGAGTTGTGGGCGATGCAGTAAGAACTCTTTATGCACAACAGCGTGAGAGGACCATTGAAGCCCTAACAGCTAGTTTAGGGTGTTCGAGCGTACATGCAGCAGTCTCGGGTCTACGTGGGAATGATTCTTATCCTGATTTTCGGCGAAGTTCTTGGGCTTTATGGGTATGTTTCTGAGTTGGATTCTTCAGATTACTTTTACTAACATGGTCAGCTTGATTGTTGGTTTAATCCTAAACTCGAAGTCTTGAGCGCCGAGCGATTTCATACGACAAACCATCCCACAACACTTTTTTTTTGTTCCGCTACGGTCATCCTGAGCTCGAAGAGACACCGATGTGTACCAAAAACTTGACCAGGAAAGATAATGGCCATGGGACTGGATCGAGATATGGACCGACTGGATTCTGGATCGAATACATTCTTATCTCCGGTGTACAATAAAAGGATCTTATACAAATCTTATATCAATTCGGGTCAAATCACTTGGGCAAAGCCAAGAGCTTACTCAGTCCGGTTTATCACCGTAGTTTCTTCCCGTTCAGCCCCGCCCCCAATAGCAAATACGTCAGAGCCAGAACTTCCGTTCTTGCAACTCTTTGCCCCGCGAATTTTCTGAAACCCCAGACTCGTTCAAATTCCTCGAACCTCAATGTTCTTTATGATCTGAAACCCGGAATCAAGCTGTGTTTCCGATTGGTGGCGCGCTAACGGGGTCTCCATACACTTTTTTTTCTTTACCGCGACATGATCTTTGACCATTCTAATGGCAACCGGAGCAGTGCAACATTCGCCAAATGAGGCGCCAGGAACCATGGTCTTCCCTAACCTGAATAGCAAACTGCATCCCAGGGAAAAGCAACTCGTCGAGTCCTTCCGGCCTTCTCCGCGATCCTCGAACCCTTTTCTCATCACCGAGCGCCAGGATGAGAAGCAACTGTGCATCTCGTCGAGGAGTCTGCGTGTGAGCGATTTTGTGCTCGTCAAGACTCTTGGAACCGGTCAGCGCGTGGCCTAACCTACTCTCTCTTGCACGAGTCGCGTCTGACTGTTATGGTTTTTTTCATCGTATAGGCACTTTCGCTCGAGTGTGGCTCGCAAGGTTAAAGGACCAAAAGGACAAGAATAAAGTCTATGCGTTGAAAATTCTGCGAAAGGCGGACGGTAAGCGCCACTTTGTCTAACTTTGCGCGTGGCGAGGAATAACTCGTGCTGATTGCGACTGGGAAGTGATCAAACTCAAGCAAGTGGAACATGTGCGCAATGAGCGCAAGGCCCTCGCAGCGGTCATTGGTCACCCTTTCATCACCACCTTGATGGCATCATTCTCGGATGAGAAGTGCCTCTACATGCTGGTATGGCAACCAATTTTTTTTCCGGAATTCGGAATATGCTTTAGCAGCGTGCTGACAAATTGTTAGCTGGACTATTGTCCTGGAGGTGAAATATTCACTTATCTCCGACGACAACGACGCTTTAGCGAAGAAGTCTCGACATTCTATGCCGCGGAAATAACAATGACAATTGAGTTCCTGCACGATGTCCATGGAGTTGCCTACCGAGATCTCAAACCGGAGAATATCCTGTTGGATGCCGAGGGTCACCTCAAACTTGTTGACTTCGGGTTTGCAAAGCAGATCGATAACCGGGAGACATATACATTATGTGGTACGCCGGAATACTTAGCTCCAGAGGTCATTCAAAACAGCGGCCATGGACTTGCAGTGGACTGGTGGGCTCTCGGAATCTTGATCTATGAATTCTTGATTGGACAGCCTCCTTTCTGGGACCAGAACCCTATGCGCATCTACGAGCAGATCATCGAAGGCCGTATACGCTTTCCACCGAACATGCCGGCTGCAGCTCAGAACATCGTCTCCCTACTATGTAAAACAAATCCGTCAGAGCGACTGGGCTACATCTCTGGTGGCCCAACTCGAGTCAAGTCCCACCCGTTCTTTCAAGATGTCAATTGGGACGATTTGTTTTATCGCCGCATAAAAGGACCTATCCTTCCCCGCCTATCCCACCCCGCGGACACGGGTAACTTTGAAGAATACCCGGATCCCCCCAACCTCAGAAACTCGAACATCTACACGGAAGATCTGAAGAAGAAGTACGAACCGTTGTTCAGAGACTTCTGAAAGATTTGTTTGCCATTACAGCCCCTCAAGCTCTCACCGAATATTCGTTCTCCCGACATTATCAGATGACGGCCATCTCTCTCTAACCCCACGGAACCCCCACGGACGCGTCCCCGGTGAATGAATGCTCCTTCACCCTGAAGCCACACTCGCAATCATTTGCGATCAATCGCGCCAATTTTGCCTTTATGCTTTTAGATGCGATCCCATGACAGCCATTGGCATGCATGTCTGTGGCAAATCTGGTCTCGGGGAACAGGTCTCGCCGCCACCATTTGACCTTCTCTCATAACCACACTCGTGGGCATCAGTATGAAGACTATCCCGGGCAGTATTGTGTTCTATTTCTTTCGACATACAATTCCCTTTGCAGAATCTTTGTTTTGGTTATGATCACGGGGATTGACCCGCCTGGAGTTCACACTTTTGCTTAAGAACCCACAACAACCTCACAAGGTTTCTTAAGTGCAATCTTGTGAACGGGGGGCGTTTTAATACCATTTTCTCTTGCCTATCCTTTCACCGTAAAGTCAGCAATCTAATCTGGATAGTCATGGGTGGCGTCTCATGTGTTGCATTGGTGGTTTCTTGCTTCATACATTCGTGATTTTCGGTATTGCCCACTCAAGCTATAGCTTTGTGCACCTATGTTTAGGTGTTTCCTTTTGGTTATTTGGTCTCATGCTAGCACAGGTTTTTTGTTTGATGTCACAGACTCATTCAGTAGACTAGGTCACCCACGATTCAAAATAAGGCTCTTTCACATTGAACCCATCGTTTTCACATTTGAAATCACTTTCAAAAACTGAGGACTTGATTAGAAGATACGAGCAGCTACGAGAAGAGAGCATCTAGGTTTGGTGCGCCTAGGATGGATTCATCTAGTCATATGATAGTCGCAAAGTTTACCTGATTAATAGAAGCTACAACTCACAGTTTTGGTTGTGTTTGAGAACGTTTATTTTCCTGCCTAGGGGAATGTGAGTAAAGTAGAGATGTATTGAACCTTTCGATGGCCTGATTGGTGGGCATTCAAGTATACTTCAATCCTATTGCACAACACATCACATCTATCTAGACCACAAATGGGAATTACATCCTTGATATATTATACAGTACTACATTCGACCTGGTCGGATTCTTCCTAGGTCGCTTTGCACAAGCGGCCATCCTCGCTCTCGGTCCACTCGTCAGATCCAACCGCAGTCCTGGCATAGAAGATGTCATTCGGATCATACTTGGCCTTGATACTGCGCAAGGTATTATAGTTGGTGCCATAGAAGACCTCCTTGAAGTTGGGCTGTTGGAAGTTACCCTGTCAAAGCGTTAAGCGAATGTTCAAAAATAATGAAGGGAATAGGAGTGTTTTCATACCTCATTCATATAAGCACCGGACTCAGGAGACAGCGCAGTCAATTTGGGAATAAAATCCTCAGTCATTTGGCGCTGGCGCTCCAACATGAGGGCATCGTTATTCCACTCCCAAGGGGTCGTCAAAGTAGTGTCAATCAGGGCTTCGCGCCAAGCAGGGAGGACTGCGTTGAAGACGTCCCCAGACACCTTGTGGGAGACGTTCAAGCCGACACCGATGAAGGTGCCGCCCGCCTCGGTGATCTCACGGTAAGCAGTCAGCAGGCCGTGGTTGTTGTTCTGAACGACCGATCTTGGGACCAACCAGCCTCCATACTGTGCAGTGCCAACCTCGATGACACCTTGCATATCCTGGAACTGGCTGTAGTAGCTCTCGTATTGCTTGGCAACTGTGGTGTAATTGATGCTGAGCTTGTCGAGGCTATCGGTGAAGGGCTTGAGAAGCGTCACTAACTCAGCGACAGGGATGTTAGGACCGGTGATTGGGGAAATGGAGAAACTGGTGTTAGTGAAGTACCAGACGCTCATAGCACCTGCGTCGACGATAGCTGGCAGCACAGCGTGGAAGGTCTCGACGGTACTGTAGAAGGTATCTTGCGAGATGCCCTCGTTCGTGTAGGTCAGGTTCAGGCCAGAGACGGGAGTTCCGGGGTGCGCCTTCGAGGTCATGGACCAGACGACACCGTAAGTGCCAGCACCACCGCCGCTAAGAGCCCAGAAGATATCGGAGTACTCATTGTCGCGGGTAGCCGTGATGAAGTTTCCTTGGCCATCGATGACCTCCCATTTCAGGACTTGATCGGCGGCCAGGCCGTAGCGGGAGCCGAGTGCGGAGTGACCACCTCCTTGGGTGTAGCCACCGGCAAGACCAACGGTGGGACATTCACCGCCAACGACCTGGTAGCCGGTCTTCTCGGCAAGCTCATATGCTTCATGGCCCTGGACTCCAGCGCCCATGGTGATGGCTTTTCCATTGTAGTGTGTATCATTATAGGAGCCGATTGACAGTTCCTTCAGGTGGTGAGTCCAGATTGCAAGGGCTCCAGCACCAGTGGATCGGCCATTGTAGTCGTGGCCGGTATTGCGAATGACAAGACGGATGTTATGCTGGGTTGCAAACTTCACAGCGTTGGAGATATGAGCTGGGCTGGTGACGTTCACGCTGTACCGTACATAGTTGCCCAGCGTGCAGGGCTTTGAGATGGGGTGGAATGGATCGCAAGCACCCTCAGCAAAGAACGGCGCCATAATCGAGGAAGACGATTCATAGCTGTCAAAAGATATCGTCAATACGTAGCACACGCCGTTAGCATTCTAGTTGGAAAGCCACATACTGCTCCTCGGGAAGTAACCATCCATCCTTCAAGACTGCACAGGTCTCGGAATTGTAGCTCGGGGCATGGCAAGGTGCGCCAAGAGGCACAGTCTTCACTAGCCGGCCATCGATGGTGTCGTTCAATTGAGACCAGTCAGCTTCCGTGGGCCAACATGGGTCATTTGGGAAGCAACGGCAAGCCGCGGAGGCTGAAACCTGAGGTAGAACCGCCAACAGCGAAGCAACGAAGGATGCGCGGAAAAACATGATGGCTTGGCTTGATTTCATGCAAGCGTATCAGCTTCTCTTAAATATTCCGGTCATGGGCGGAATAGATGAGAAACCAGTGGGCTTATTTGCTTACAACACACAACATGGAAGAATCCACACCATTGACGCCGGCAATATACAACACACGGCGTAATGCGGCAATGCATCTTGCCGCTAAGGCAGGTTCTGGCCTTGTTGGCCCTGGAGAACAATCTCCTAGAATGTACAGTGCTCCGGGACTTGTTGGCCCCGACCAACCACATATGGTGCCATTTCCCCACCTGGGAGCATTCTGTAGGCTTTGAATTTTCCGCATAGTTCAACGTGAGACATTCGGATCTTGGACGGTCCGGGCTTGCCGAGTCGCTTCCGACGATATCCACAGAGTGTACCAAGGTTCGACCACATGGCTTGAGGTAATTCTAACCTTGGTTGCCCTAGACCCTGCAGATCTACCTTGCAGATCTACCCATGCCTGCGCTAATGTACATGCAGGTGCTTGCTTTTTTCTTGTTGGTAATACCAATACTAAACATAGCTACTAAAGATTGCTAGCATGCAGCTTGTGGCGTTTTTTTTTATTTTAATTTGATGTATGCATTTGAAAGAATACAGATTTATTACTAGTGGGGGTGATGACTGCATTAGCGTAGTTCTCGGCTGGGCTGGCATGGCAAGGTGCACAGAACCATGTTTTTTTTATAGGTGCATCCAGGGGTCTCATCACCTTGTTGGGGCTGCTAGATCTATCTTCCTGTTTTCGTTCTTGAACATGAGATTTTCCCTTCTTTTTCTTTAATGCACGATGCAAAATCGTATTCCAGTGGCTTGCTCATACCCCAAGACAAGGGCTACTCCTCCCCCCAAAACACCCTGACAAATTCAAATTGGTACTTTTGGATCCCTGATGTTCTTGTGAGTCTAGCGCTGCAACTTGATTACGCCAATGTAGGCCCCCCCCGCTCCCCTCCCCACTATCCTCCCCACTCCCATCCCCACTTGAATTATATTAATGGTTATGCACACAGGGTATAGCACCCGCGATCCCGTGCAACATACTCCGTAGTAATTATTATGAATAAGAATACTAAATACCCTTTCGGAAGCTGCCAGCTTCCTTGCCTGTGAAAATGAACAAGTCATGGGCTGGGTAAATAATCTCCACGAGACCGATCCAAACAGCGATATTTCTCGAGTGATCACGATCTGCTTGGTGTGCTCAATTCTAGCATTCTTGGCTGTGTGTCTGCGGTTTTATGTCCGAATAAGTAGCAAACGCTTTCCATGGATTGACGACTATGCGGCACTAGCGAGCTCACTTTTGACGTTGGCATATGCGGGAATCGCTGTGGCTCGTGAGTCAATTCATTTTTCAGTGAAGGTTGACTACAGAACTAATGAAAAGGTTATTTTAGAGACACGATGGGGCCAAGGACTCAGCGCCGCCTATTTTCCAAAGGAAAATGTCATTCCTTTTAGTAGGGTGCGCATATCAAGACCAACACTGTACGGACTCGAGCCTGACACTAATCTTGGTCCATAGATCCAATATACTGGCGGCCCGATCTACTGTCTCGCTGTCCTCGGCTTCAAAGTCGCCTTGTTGGCCTCCTACCTACGCATTGCGGGGATAATCAAGCGATATCGAAAAATCATCATTGGCGCCATCGTTGTGTGTGTCGTTAACCAAGTGATTTTCGCCTTGATCATATCAATCTCCTGCATACCGGTCAGCTTCACCTTCTCCAGCACAAATTGATTGGGGAAAACAGGGTCTCTGACATCGAACAGGTCGCTAAACAATGGGATACATCTATTGCGGGGCATTGTATCCATACAATCCCATTCTACTTTGCCCTTGGAGGCACAAGCATCGTGTTAGACCTGATAGTCATAGCACTACCTCTGCCAGTTCTTTGGAAACTCCAGCTCCACCCCAAACAAAAAGCGCTCTTGGTTTGTCTATTTGCTCTCGGCTTCTTCGTGACTGTGATCCAGATCATCCGCATCCACACTGTCTGGGACTTGAAAACCTACACCGACAGCAAGAATATCGTGATCTGGTCTTGTGTGGAGATCAGCTTGGGAGTAGGTTGAGCTTTACCATTTCTTAAAGGTTTTTTCTTCAAATCCAAGGAATTCTAACGAAAGAAAAATCTCTAGGTTATCATCGCCTGTGTTCCCACATACGGGCCTCTGTTTAAATCCTTCGCTTCCAATTTAAACTCGTACCGAAATCGTGAGACTTCGCGTGGTTATGCACTTGATTCTGTTCGCCAAAGCACGGGGGCAAGAACCGGGCTTGGGCGCAGCAAGAGCGATTTCGAGCCTATGGATGACTCCGAGGGGCAGCAGAGTACTGATATTCGATATGGGGCGCAAACGAATGATGGGAGCAGTGAGGAGCATATATTATCGGAAATGGAAAACTTGAAAGTGTATGTGACTTCGGAGTTCACAGCTAAGTCTGGCGCTGCCCGTTGATCTGGCGTTGGGGTTTGGCGCTACAGGACTTTGGGGCCTTTGGAAAACTAAAATTGGGAGTACATCTATTTGATACCAACACATATTTCTGGAGAATTTCGATTAGACATGCACGGTGGCAACAATCATGTGCAATAGTTATCTCTTATAGGTTTGTATCATAGATATCAGGGCGAGAAAATGATTGATCAAGATCTCCCTTCATATGCAGTAGGAAAATTTCGCGAAGTTGCCTTGTTGTTATCACAGCAATGAGATTGAAGTCTATAAGCAGCTAGTATAGCTAGTAACAACACATCAACCTGGCAAAAAAAAAGCTTTTTGTAAACGAAAAACGAAAAGTCCAAATAAAAAACACAAATTGGGGGAATCATATGAACAGGTATCATGAAACATGGAACGGGTTTAAAGCTTGCGCCTGAGTTCAGTCATATTCAAGGCACCGATGATGATGGTTCGATGCCAGAGTGGTGAGATTGGGACGGAAGCAGACACAATCGAGAAATCTAGAGGGGATGTGTGGGTGATGAGATCGGAGCAAAGATTGAGATGAACTGCATGCAAAGGCCTGCAATAGGTCTCTGATGCTATCAGTGTACAGTATTGGAACCGAACAAGGTAAGGCTTGGGCATTTTCACAGCGATGGGTCTGTCTTCCATGTACCTGATATCAAGATGGTTGTATGTTAGTACTATGTACTATGTCCACATAAAGCCAAATGAACGTGTCAAAGATAAAGACGTACCTCCGAAATTGTGCTTCACAAAAGCCATCGGATCATCCGTATCCCCCGCACCCATTTGCCCCACACCGGGACTGAAGCTGGTAATGGGCAGAACAACCACATCTCCAACCTTGCGATGTGTGGTCTGGTGGCTGAAGTCCTCGTAGGTGATGTTTTTATCACCAGGCTGGATGTTGAAGTATATCGGGTTGTTGAAGTAGCGGAAGATGGAATCTGTCCAGGCTCCAGGCCCCGTGAATTCCATAATAGTCTTATCCATCTTACCAACCTTGAGGATGCCTGCCCTTTTCATTCGCAAAGCATGTTCGGTGATATAAGCCACCATATCACGAAGAATCGGGTGCCCGGGTTTCGACACAATGGTCCACTGACAAAACTGAAGACGGCGCGAATACCAGTCATGCCAATCATCGCGGTCAGGATCAGCCTCAATTCCAACAATAAATCCGATAGTTGATCGATCAAGATGCTCGGGAAGCCACGTGTGCGCGGGTTTGAGTGCCGAAGTGTCGATATCGCTGTATACTCCCCCGCGCGCCAGAAGAACCAAGTACCGGAAGAAATCCGCCTTCATGACGCCGAGCGGCAGCGAATCATATGCCTCAAATACGTCCGGAATTGATCCATAAAGATACCTAATCAGGTGTCGCTGTGTCTCGTCGGGAATTACTTCATGCGTGAACCCGGGGTGCATCTCTGTCCAGCTGGCCTCCGGGCCACGAAGCTCTTCGTCAAACCAGAACGATCCCGGGCTGTATTTCCACGTTTGCCAGATGTATGCGGGAAATCTGTTTTCGATTTCATAGGGGAATTGATACCGGAGACGTTCGCGGAGCGGTGCTGTCGGTGATGCGCCTAGGGGTAGTTGGGCTCGACCTTGCGGTGGTGTGTTCCGTGCTGAATTTCCTATCGCTTCATCCTGTTCTTGTGATATCTTCTTCACCGGTCTGTACCCAGGTGCCCCGGGAACTTCGGGATCTCGGAACGAGCGGAGGATGAGAACAAAAGTGACCACGCAAAGCAGCGCGAGCAGCACCTTGCGCGGGGTTATCATGACAGGCAATGGAGCTAGTACAGTCGGGAGATAATTCACTGGTGTAGCGATAGCCGTAGATTGGGTGAGAGATAGTAATCAATTTCTCCGTGCTTTTGTATTCCGTGATCCGCAAGCTCGGGGAATTTGAACAGTTTTGGTATGCGATTCGTTCGGCGGGCGTGATAGTCGAGCGATTCCAAATCCTAGGCTAAAGAAATCGAGAGTGTGACATATCGATATGCGGAACTCTTGGATGTGACCTCGATAGTCGGAGATGCGTTCAACCCAAAATCGGGAAAGGAGGCGTAAAATAAAACCCCAGCAAGAATTGCCAGTCACCTAGTACCACAGAACCGCAAGGAGTTATTGAATCGGAGAGCAAGCTACGCTGTCTAGTAGCGGGTATTTTATTGCCTTGCTGGCTAATTTTGTTTGACGTCCACCAGTCGAATAAGAATATTGCGCATGCCGGAAGCAGCTTGTAGCCCGGGTGGAGCCGCTCACGTGGCCTTGAAGTGAGATGTAATTTGAAACAAATCGTCGAAACCAAATGTGTAACCCATGGTTGAAAACAGGGTAGAATACCCGGAAAATCTACGGACCGCCATGATGGAATTGCCCACATAAATTGTATGTTATGTTTAGTTGGCTTGTCCGCATAGATTGGAAAAATAGCGGATTTGATTATTTTAGTTAGTTAGAGAACTTGGAGTTTATTTTATACCCTATCTATAAGTAGTTCTATCTAGTGTTAAAACCTTAGATCTCTGTCATAAAGTACTGGGAGTAAACGGGGTAGTCACATGACTTCCAACATTAGGACAAAGCCCTGGCGGTTGTAATCATCCCTGGTGAGATCAAGTACTTGGCCTCAAGATCACAGACGAAGGGGGCCCCCTGGCCTTCCAGGGTGTACCCATGGTCAATGGTCATATTGGCCCCACTAGTTTTTCAGTATAAGGCCTCTGTTTAGTTTTGAAATACTAGGTATATTTGATTAGGTTATCCCATTTTAGTATAAAAGATATTGTCAGGGTGCGGG